GTCTGACCACCCGATCCCGTTAGTCGCTTCTTACGACAAGCATAGTACCTGAAGACCTTTTCTACCCCGAACACCCCTTACGACTATCTATCCTGACCCCACATCCAACAAGAACGGGTGAGCAAACAATTTTAGAATTATTTTATTTTTAATGCCAGCTTTTGACGAAGTGAACCGAACAGTGGTAGCCGGGTTGTTGGGTCGTTTTTCTTTTTATCTCGGCTGGAGAAGACAGTAGGGTGATGTGAGGTGAAATGGAGTTTAACGTCGCGTCCAAGATTATTTCACTTATAAAGCGACGTGCATGCACGTGTGTGTGGCTGCTTGTCCGGACTGCTGCTGATTTATAGTTCGAGCACACTGAGATACCATGCCGCTGTTTAACATGAATACCCCACTGACTCCGAGCCGACCAGTCCTTGTTTTAGCCCCTTAATGCCGAGCGCCAGACAGGGTAACAACAAGAACCATATTTTAACGTCTATTGGTACATGTATGACGCGCCCGGAGATCGAACCCCGGACCTTCCGCTCACCACGGAGGCGGTCTTATCTCGGCAGTGCAACAGCTGCCCATAGACTGCCCGTTAAGTACAGGGGCAAGCCCTTGTCAACACCACATGCACTTCAATTCAGCCCAAGAACGGGCGGAGCTTACACTTCAACCAAGAATGGGGATGAGGAATAACGGCAACATTTGATTGCAATGATGTGACCTATGACCTTCGAAACGTTCGCACCGGCACGGGCGTACTTGGCAGTAGAATGGTACAAGGTCCTTGCTGATTATCTGGAGTGTTTCAGGGACGGTGACGATAATCTCGTCGAGACTACAATAACAAGTTCGCCCATGCTATAAACCTCCATCTTTTTCTTGAAGAATATGACATAGCAAGTGCCTCGTTTGGATCACGGATGGGAGACATACACATACGTGCATTGTGTTACGATCGGATGATTGCTACAAGCAATATCTTTGTTAGAGTGATTGAGTTGGGTTTATGCCGCTTTTAGCAGTGTTCCAACAAGAATGGCGGGGGACACCAGGAATGGGCTTCACACATTGTACCCATGTGGGGAATCGAACCCGGGTCTTCGGCGTGACGAGCGAACGCTTTAACCACTAGTCTACTCCTCCTTCCTCATCTTTTTTGGAGTTAATCGAGGGAATAAATACTGATTGTTACCCGTTACATCTTTGGTGCAACCCATGCTTGTCGTAAAAGGTGACTATGCTTGTCGTAAAAGGCGACCATGCTTGTCGTAAAAGGTGACTATGCTTGTCGTAAAAGGCGACCATGCTTGTCGTAAAAGGTGACTATGCTTGTCGTAAAAGGTGACTATGCTTGTCGTAAAAGGTGACTATGCTTGTCGTAAAAGGCGACTAACGGGATCGGGTGGTCAGGCTTGCTGACTTGGTTCATACATGTCATCGATCCCAATTGCGTGGATCGATGCTCATGATATCGATCACTGGATTGTCTGGCCCAGACTCGATTATTTACAGACCGCCGTCATATAGCTGGGTTGTCTCCGATGAACAGAAGACATACGAAGCTGCCGGTTTGTTGGATGGTCCTTGCCACAAAAACCCTTGCCATGCAGTCAGCGCGTGTACAATAACGCGTACTATTATGTATTTACCCTTCTATATGAACCTCACATTTGTCCATAATTCTATGGCTAGTTTCACTGCCATTTCCTCTAGAGCCTAGCTTGATGTACGGAAGCCTTTTAGGGCCATTTGTTTTTGGGTTTTTTCTTGAAATTTCAAGATACCAGCTTGACATTTCAAGATACTAACTTGAATTTTCAAGAAACTAGCATGGAATTTCGAGTTAGTATCTTGACATTTCCGGAAAAATATAAAATCAAATGACCACAAAAGGTTTCCGTATTTATGCCTCCAAACTGCATGTGGTTTTAGCTACAGCATTGTGTATTATAGGTGTTTTTCGTTAAACAGTCCTTCTTTTTGGTTAATGGTTGAAAGAACTAACACAGTTTTCTCATAAATGCAAGTCACTCTTACGTGCGTTGTTTATTTTTTTTTTATAAAACATAATTGGGTTAAAAGTAAAAAGAAGCAATATTCATAATGAGACCATTTTACGTTTTTCGTTATCAAAAACATGGTCCAATGTGTTGAAAGTTAAAATTATCAACCAGGTTACAAAATATGTCATACGAGAAACAATCTTTTGCAGAGTTATGCCCCTTAGCTGTACCAGGACCCGCTAGTAGTAGGTTCGTATAAAGACACGATCGTATTATGATCCTGGCAGCACTGCCCTTGTGTCGGTGTAGTTCACAGAAGTTGTCTGACTCCAGCATAACTCGGAGCTTCATCTTTGACACGTCTTGATAATAACTGAAATATTGTTTTTTGTCAAAAGCGGCGCTTAACCCATCTCGCTTGTTTCCATAAACGGTACATAAAAGTGCATGCACAACACAAAGAACGATGAATATATCACTTTCAAATTCACTCAGCTTTCCACAAAATGTGAGATGAACATTGAAAAGTGACAAAAGAGAAATACGTGGCGATTCTTAAAGGGCAAGTTCACACGGAAATGAACCTAATTTTCTTGTACTTTTTCCACAACAAAAGTGTTAACCTAGAAGTGTCATAGACAAAAATATAAAAATATCACAATTAATCAACATATGTTTTGCATTAAAACGATTTATATTTTTCACATTTACCAAGTGTTCTATTTCCATAACAAAAACACCATGGCTTATGCCCCTTGCAATATGACGTCATTGGTGCCAATTGATAAACATTATGACGTCACCATGCTTTGTTAGAGCCGCTTCACGTGGTGTAGGTACAGGTGTGTCATTCTAGCGTCTCAGATGCCAGCCAGCATAGTGTTATGCTGAGTCACCACTGCGCCGGAGTGTGTCGTAGGCCATGTTGTTTTACCGAAAACTTGTACTTGATATCTTTTGCGTTCAGAATAGACAGGGACCCAGTTGAATTGGCACCAATTACGTCATAATCTAAGGGAGATAACTCAGGCCTGTTTAGCTCGAAAAACGAAGGCCTCATAACGGCATATCATTTTCACACTATTGTGAGCTTCCTACTTTCACTGTGAAAAAAATGAGTGTATATTTTCAAACACAGATACTAACTAATTCTAAAATTGCGTTTTGTTTAGAAAAAGAAAGAAAGTAATTTTTGCGTGTACACTTCCCCTTTAATGTAATCGTATCTACATGGATTAAGTGCAAGAACTTAAATACGTTAAACGTACATATGTCACACTGTAGATTATATGGCAGTCAATATAAGGAGAAACATGTGATTAAAGAGATGAAAAACCAACACAAGATTCAAATTTTATTCCAAATATTTTTGTTAATCTCTCCAAGACAGATACAAGTAATATTGTGAACGCTAGCATCCGTACAGCTCCACGCGCATGCCTGGGTGTGTCCCCACCCCGGTGTGCCAGCTGAGGGGGACGAAGCGGACAAAACGTGCCAGGAATGGGGGATCGAACGTCTTCAGCTGTTCAATCATGTAGGATGCGCTGCCGCGAAATATCTGAAAATAAAGAAAATGGTAATAAACTTTAACTTAATAGTCGATTTGAGCGGAGTATTTTACCGTTAATAGAAATTAAGTTAATTAATTAGATATGGAGCAACAAATATTAAAGGATCACTGCTTCCGCCAGATTGTGCTGTGTCGTGTGTTAGTTACGTGAACGAGTGAAACTAGTGAAACTAGTGAATCCCGTTTCAACATTGATTGCTCCCAGCCCTGACCGAGATGACACGTGGTATTGGGGTAGAGAGGGTTAAATCCTCCACTGACTGGCTGAATATTTTCTAATACAGATAGGTGCCGTTCGTATTCAATATATTACATTTTGTTAGAATTCCGTACAGTCAATTGTCCAAAAAATATTTTAGTGAGCGCGTGTTCCACGCCGCTGTTAGCATCATAACAACTTTTAACCGTCGGAATAGTTAAGCCGGAACCAGACCTACCAGTGGAGAATACCTGGGAAATGATGTATGTGGTCTGAAAACGATCCGTAATAAGTATGTGACCTAACCATTATGATCGCCGGATCCATACTTAAGACGCCATTAATAATAAGAATAGGGGCTCGAATTCCTGTACACGTAACGGAGTAGGATGACAAATGCAGTGAGTGCGTGCCCCTCAACTGCGGGAGTAGTCGTGTTGTTTTTCATTAGTCACTGAAGCATTACTCCCCCGTTGATGCCTACCTCAGTCTTCTTAGTGACTGCGTCGAGGACGTCGGTGAAGGTGTTGCCGTCAGTGCTGTACTGGACCGTGAACTGGCTGATCATGTAGTTGGTGCTGACGCCCTGAACAGCCATCCTGTTCAATTTCATCTCCGTGTTCAGATCAACCTGTCAGACACAAATTAAATGATCGATAAACCAGATATAAATCAAGAGTTCGATATACCAGACATACATCATGAGATCGATATATCAGATATACATCAAGAGATCGATATACCAGACATACACCAAGAGATCGATATACCAGACATACACCAGGAGATCGATATACCAGACAAATCAAGAGATCGATATACTAGACATACATCAGGAGATCGATATACCAGACATAAATCAAGAGATCGATATACCAGACATACATCAGGAGATCGATATACCAGACATAAATCAAGAGATCGATATACCAGACATACATCAGGAGATCGATATACCAGACATAAATCAAGAGATCGATATACTAGACATACATCAGGAGATCGATATACTAGACATAAATCAAGAGATCGATATACTAGACATACATCAGGAGATCGATATACTAGACATACATCAGGAGATCGATATACCAGACATAAATCAAGAGATCGATATACCAGACACAAATCAAGATGAAGATGTACAAGAAACAATTGGTATACCGGACACAATTAAAGAGATCGATGCCAGAAACAAGTAAAGTTATTGATATACCAGACACAAACCAAGAGATATACTAGTATATACCGACATAAACAAAGAATCCGATATCCCAATCGCCAGCAACAGATCGTCACAAATCAAGCATTAAGGGATCGACCTACCGAACACATCTCATTTTTGTAAATGCTGCTATTCTGTGGAATCGGGGTCTGATTGTGTGTCATCAACCACTGGTTTACTTAGCCCACACTCCGTTATTTACAGGTTGCCGTGATGGAGCTTAGACGTGCCAGAAACTTTGCTCGTGAGTTCGCATCCCGGTTCGCTTCTTTTATGTTTCAAGGTTATCAGTTCCATTCCGTGCTCGTGGGCTTCACCAAAGCGGTGAACGTCTAGGACTTGCATCACTTCCGGCTTTTCTCACATTAAGCTAACACGCAGCGATATAACTAGAATACTGTTCAAAACTCGCTCACTCATATAAATATAGTACACTTCGTTTATAGCGAACACGCTCATAACGAACTGACGGATATGACGTATACAAAGTATGTGTAAACATCTATTCAACCCCAATGAATATTGATAATATAAACTTGATTAACATCGGACACCAACAGCCCCCCCCCCCCCCCCCCCCCCCCCCCCAACACACACACACACACACACACCAACACCAATTGCCCCATGTTACAGATGAATCACAGAATCACCTGCAGCCAGGACCCAAGACCCTGCCCCACCCAGCCAACGCCCACGGGTGCGTATAGTCGTCCATCGGATGCCTTGGAACCGTTAAAGCTGTAATGTGCCGTGATCTGTGCGTCCGGGACCACCTTGTTCTTGACGCCAACACCCAGAGGGTTCACGGAACATACTGGAACAAGAACAGATCTACACTCGAAGTAGTTCCTATTTCCAAGATGACATTAATAAATGACATAATCTGATAAAATAATTCAAAACATACTGGATTTGCTTTGCTTGTTTTTAACGGTTATTTGAGACATTGACACATGTCATAATGACGGTATGTAGACTGGTCCAAAGCAGATTAAAATCCTTTTACAGTACGTGGTCTAGTGGTAGAGCGTCCGCCCGGAGAGCGGAAGGTTCGGGGTTCGATCCCCGGCCGCGTCATACCAAAAGACGTTAAAAGATGGTACTTGTTGTCACCCTGTCTGGCGCTCGGCATTACGGGGTTAAAACAAAGACTGGTCGGCTTGGAGTCAGTATACTGTGTCTGAGTGGGGTATTCATGTTAAACTGCGGCATGGTATCTCAGTGGGCTAGCACTATAAATCGGCATCAGCCCGGACTAGTACAAACAGCCACACACACACACGTTCATGCACGTCGCTATATAAGTGCAATAATCTTTGACGTTAAACCCCATTTCACCTCACCTCACCTTTTACAGTTAAACCCCGTTCTAGAAGTTATATAGTTCCATGTGTGAAACTAACACATTGTTTCTGTAAAATTAGAGTGACTATTAGCTACTGTATTGACAAGATAGGCATTTAGGTGGTAGATGTCAGAGGCACAAGATATTTTGATTGCATCTTATGTCGTCATCATGCACAACGTGTCGAGCCTACTATTGTGACACCAGTGTCACTGGATACATCATAGGCCACCGACATGCTTGCTCTCCAGCAGACCGCCTCCGTGGTCAAGTGGTAGAACGTCCGCACGGGGAGCAGAAGCTCCGGGGTTCGATCCCCGGCCCCGTCATACCAAAAGACGTTAAAACATGGTACCTGTTGTTACCCTGCCTTGCGCTCGGCGTTAAGGGTCTAAGACAAGGACTGGGCGGCTCGGAGTCGGTATACTGTGTCTGAGTGGGGTATTCATGTTAATCGCACTATAATATCGGTATTAGTACGGACTGGTACAAGCAGCTACACACACACACGCGCGCCGCTATATGTTCTGTATAAGAAGGTACATTTGGACTCCCAGAGTCCGGACTCCCACCTTCGGTTCTTCCATCTATACCGGAACTACTCGTAATTTATTCGGCTTTCAGGGTAAAGAAGAGTTCCACCTACAGACGTTGCAGGTCCTCCCCCCGTACAGGGGCAGACAGTCGCAGCGGAAGCCCCCGGGGACGTCGACACACGAACCCCCGTGCATGCAGGGTTTGGAGGAACACAGTTCTCGCTCTACAACAGCAGATAACGGTCAGCGGTTATTACATATTTTCTGCATTTTTCAAAAAATTCAATCACAACATTGTTCAAATATCAGTCCATTTAGTTCACATGAGGTTGGACATTGTTTGGCGTTTTCTTTCAGAGAAATACTGTAAATCTTGAATTTAACGCGAGCGTGAATTAAATGCGAAGAATGCGAGAGGTCTATGCTCGCATTAATTAAGTAAAATGCAGTGAATGAGAAAAAAACAGAACCTTCTGCCACACACAACCAAACACACAACTCTCCACCTTCCCTAAAAAATAATGACAGATCACTGGCTTCAGTTCATTACAAATTGTTTTCACAAGTCTGACGATACAGGAACCAGTATTTTGGTAGGTTTCACGTGAAATTAGTTGAGCCAAATATGCATCTGGTTTGTTTACACTTAATCATCCAATTCCTTAATGAAATTATACGAATCAATACAGAAGACACAAACACATACCCATGTGTGTGTGTGAGTATGGTTTTACGCCGCTTTTAGCAATATTCCAGCAATATCACGGCGGGGGACACCAGAAATGGGCTTCACACATTGTACCCATGTCGGGAATCGAACCCGGGTCTTCGGCGTGACGAGCGAACGCTTTAACCACTGGGCTACCCGACCGCCCCCATACCCATGTAAATCTTAAGAAACATGCATTCAGTGAGTGAGTGACTTGGGTTTAACGCCGCTTTTAACAGTATTCCACTTATATAACGGCGTGTCAGCTTAATGTGGGAGGAAAGTCCGAAGTGATGCAGGTCTCAGACGTTTACCACTTGGGTGAAACCCACGAGCACGGGTATGGTACTGACAAACCTAGAAACATAATCGGGGCGAACGGGATTCGAACCCACAATCATAGGTTTCTGGCGTGCCCAAGGGACGCAACCCTGCGCAGCGAATCGCGGCGCGTTAGACGACTGGGCCACCCGTGCCCCCATGCATTCAGAGATTCGTGTGTAGGAGCATCATGTTTAACCGTAAACTGTCGGGCAGAAGAAAGTATACACTCGAAAATTGGATTAATTTTAAAACAAAAATGTATATACGTTATCAAAACATTACTTGGCAGAAAGAAGGCGCCGAAACATTGAAAACTTGAAGCCTAAAACATAACTGTTATACCAGTACCACATACGTCACCATCGAATAATAATGTCTTGTTTCTTTCATTTTTTAGCCATCGTCAAACATTGGTGTATACTTTTACAGAAGTGAAGGATGGATTCAGCTGCTAACCAATACATGTGTCATGAAGACGCAGATGACGTACCTCTGATGTCGATGGAGAAGGTTCCGTCGGCATACTTGCCGTCTTTGTCGGTGACACGGATGCTGAAGCTGTATGTAGCGTCGTAGTTTGGCGCTATGCCGCTGATGACGCCGGTTTTGTTGTTGAGGATGATGCCAGGGGGGAACCGACCCGATATCAACGCGTACTGTAACGCTCCGCCCTCGGGGTCCTTGAGTACAGAAATCCGTATACAGTGAGACCCGTTAATCCGGACCCCGTTAACCCAGACAATTACGTTCAAGAACGTTTACATATGCACGAAGTGACATTTAAGAATTGACTTCAACTTGTTATGCGTTTATGGGGGTATAAACGTCAAATCCGCGTGAGCAACCCTTTCTAAGTTTATAACTCCCTAAACGGATTTTTTTATTGACATCAATTATTATATATATACACAAAAATAATAACACAGACTGCTTATTTTATCATTAACACAATAACAATAACTGCTGACAATAACACTACATCAGTGACATTCAGTGCAACGTGACTCCAGCCCCGCCCATTCTGTTATGAGCCTATCAGGAAACAGTAGTCCAAATAGTGGGTGTGGCCTAAATGTTTTACGGTTTGTGGAAACATAAACGCAAAAGTATTTGCTTGGTTTGCCGATTAAACGCCACGGATTCACTTGCAATTTATTAATCTGTAACCATAAATCGTTAAGCTACGGGATACGCTACCGTCTGGTTTAACGGGGTTCCACTATATTTATGTATAATCATTTAGACTATATTTAAAATGAGATTTCAATGAATGTTGACACCGTCGGGATTTCGGGTTAAAGAATAGGCCCGCGGCAGCCTATACTACCCATAAGAGGCGACTAAATCGGATGGGGTGGTCAGGCGCGGTGACTTGGCTGATCCGTCTGTTTGTTTGTTTGTTTGTTGTTTAACGCCGCACTGAGCAATATTCCAGCTATATGACGGTGGTTGTAAATAATCGTTCTTATATGGACCAGACAAACCAGTGATTGAAAGCACGAGCGGCGATTAGCGCAATCGGGGTACGATGACACCAGGTTCTCTTCAGCCGACTCTTACATGGATTCTGTACCTAATTCACCGCCTCCGTGGTGTAGTGGTAGAGCGTCCGCACGGAGAGCATCTTCCCGAGGCAAGGGCATTAACTGACTATTAAAGTGGAAACTGGATTTTTATAGTCAGTTAACTCCCTTGCCACGGGAAGATGCCCGGAGAGCGGAAGGTCTGGGGTTCGATCCCCGGCCATATCAAACCAAAAGACGGAATTAAGGGGATGAAACAAGGACTTGGTGCTCGGAGTCAGTTTAATCTGTCTTAGTGGGGTATTCAAGTTAAACTGGGGCATGGTATCTCAGTGGGCAAGCCATATAAAATCGGCACACACACACACACACACACACACACACGCACGCACGCACGCACACACACACATAAACACACACACACACACATGCACACACGTCGCTATATAAGACTTTAGTGCAATAATCATGGAAGCGACGCTGAACCCCATTTCACCTCACCTCACCTGTATCTTTTTACCAGAACGTTGAGCAGTTGAAGTGGATAATCATTATGATACTTACCATAATATACCCAGTCTGTGTGCCTACCTATACCTTAGTGTAACCCCCACGAGGATTCCGGGTTCAGCACAGGTTTCTCCCCAGCAACCTATGCTTGTCATAAGGGGCGACTAAATCGATTGGGTGGTCAGCGTGTCATCATACCCAGATGGCGTCGATCGATGCTCATATTATCACTCACTGGCTTGTCTGGTTTCATCTCGATTAATTCAGGAGATATATCTTGAATTTAGTCTCCTAATTTGAGTGAGTAACATACTCACCTTGGCGTAGACGGCGACGGAGAGGTTCTTCCCTGCATCGAACGTGCCGAGAGAGTCATGCACCGTTTGTTTGGTCCACACAGGGGGGAGGCTGTTCACCATCTGCATCATGTACAATAACACGGATGAAGCCAATCATGCCCCAGCATCATATAGTCTTTAAGAACTGCTATAATTTACATACCACCTTAAATTGAAAAATAGTTTTCAAATATAATATATATATTAACCTCTTTTCAGTAATATTTATGGATTTGTTTCTGATTTCTAAAGTCAATTCAAAGCAGTATTGACAAATGTTATTCTATGGAATACGGTAAGGGACATTCTCGCGTAATGTCGAACCCACAATCATAGGTTTCTGGCGTGCCCAAGGGACGCAAATCTGCACCTCGCGACGTTGCAACTTATTATATATGCCAAAAGTGCGAGAATGAGAAAACACGAGATATGGACCATATTCCAAAGAGCAATCTGACAACTAAGACCGTCGAAAGTCAATGCTAAAGCATAGGAGTTGCATTTGTCTTAGTACTAAGTTAGCTTTGTTGAACTTACCCCAGATGATACTGCCGCCGATTATCGGTGCAACACTTAAGTCAACGTTATGAAAATGCTGCAAATTTTAACTCATTAACAGCAACAAATTACATACATATATATGCGTTCCAAAGAGGCAGGGGTATTTAAAGCATCCAGCCTGAATATGCAAGTACGATGAACACAAAATATAACATGCTTCGGGTTCGAACCTGAACATCACCTTAAAAGACAGACACAAAAACGTTTTCTGCCTTCCCCTCTTATTTTGGCGGTCGGGTAGCCTGGTGGTTAAAGCGTTCGCTCGTCACGCCGAAGACCCGGGTTCGATTCCCGACATGGGTACAATGTGTGAAGCCCATTTCTGATGTCCCCCGCGGTGATATTGCTGGAATATTGCTAAAAGCGGCGTAAAACCATACTCACTCACTCACTCTGAGTGTTATGTAACATGGATTATATATCGATCAGATTCTAGACACTGTGTCCCAGTCAAGGATGTTACTGACAGCAATGATGTCTTCGATGTCGTAGCCGTTGATGTATAATGTTCCATTTTTTCCGGGGTACAACAAGATATCGCCTCCAACGCCACCCTACAAACAATCAATGTAACTGATCATAACATAAATATATAATGAAGCCAAACACAACAAATGAGGGTCAAGTTGCTAAAGATCAATTATATTACCGTCTCTTGATCTACTAGCGCCTGATTAGGAACGTTCCATTCTATGTACAGTAAACTACGGATATAACGAACTCAAAGGGACCACTAATTGTAGTTCGTTATAACCGTAGTTCGTTATAAGCATGTATACAGCATATATACAACAAATGGCCGGGGCTAAAAAATAAGTTCGTTATATCCGTCAGTTCGTTATAAGCGTGTTCGTTATAAACGTAGTTTACCGTAATATGAACATAAAAACTCTATTTAAAAGAGTACCTAAGTGTCGTATGGTATCGACGTGTTGAAATTAATTATTTTTTCATTAAATACCTGATTGATGAAAATAAATCATCCTAAATGGCATATTGTTGATTGTTGTTTTACGCCGCTCTCAGCAATATTCCAGCTATATAGCGTCGGTCTGTAATTAATCGAGCCTGGACTATACAATCCAGTGATTGACATCATCAGCATCGATACACGCAATTGGGATACGATGACATGCATCAACCAAGACTGCAAGCCTGACCACCCGATACCGTTAGTCACCTCTTGGGACAAGCATAGTCGCCTTTTACGGCAAGTATGGGTTGCTGAAGGCCTATTCTACCCTGGATCTTCACATATTATATAATGGATTTTATCAGTTAATGTTTAACTGTTTTGTCAGTGTGTGAGTGAGTGAATGTTGTTGAACACTGCAGTCAGCAATTATCCATCACTATTACGGCGTATTACCTGGATGATGACGCTCCCTTTTGGCTCGGCTGTCACGTTCACATTTGGGTAGTTCACCTCTAAAAAACTGAAACATATGCACACATTTACAGATAAAATGGGCAACAAATATGAATTCACATTTCATGACATTATCATTATTTAATAACCTCACCTTCCATAAAGATTCACGACGGAGAGAGCCAAGGTCAACAAAACTAACAATTTTCCCTCCATTGCTGACTTGGTTGTCAAATCTTCTCACATGTTGAAGAGTCACAGCGAACTATTTCCTTACGCGGAACCATATCCGGTAGGAAGTCGTTTGTCACAAATTTTTAGATGGCGGAGGAATACACACACATATCTCTTCATCAGTGAAGTAATAGTGGCAAGCATGTATTACGTGACCTTTGTTTGATAAATAAGATAACGGTATATGTTACTCTGTACGTTTAACCAATCATATGCAAGTACACACGTCGCGTGGTCAGTGTGCGATCCTCTGTCGGAAGAAGTTAGCTTTTCCAAGAAAACTTCAAACGTTCATTCCGAGATAATGTCGGCATTTGTTATACACGTCTTGGTCTCCACACCCTGATAAGGATATTTCAAATTAAAACTCCCTCCTATCAATCCTTGTGGTATTTCAATTTGATCCGTTTGTTGATGATAACCTGACTATTTATTCTTGGAGTTGTAAAAACATAACGTAATAATTTATCGAGTGAATTCGGTCAAGTAAGAGAGGATGTATAGAAGTATATAATTATCATTAATCCTTTAGTGTGTGAGTTGGGTTTTTAACAGTAACGCCGCTTTTAACAGTATTCCAGTTATATCGCGGCGTGTCAGCTTAATGTGGGAGGAAAGCCTGAAGTGATGCAGGTCTTAGATGTTTATTACTTTGGTGAAACCCACGAGCACGTTTGGTGCTGACAAACCTAGAAACATAATCAGGGCGAACCCACAATCATAGGTTTGTGCCGTGCCCAAGGGACGCCACTCTGAACAGCAAATTGCGGTATCAATCCTTTAAAAAGATTACAAAATAAACATATTTCACTGCTTTCATGGTATTCACATTCTCGTTTTGTGGAACTAACTGGGGTGATATAAAGAGTATTCATTCATCTGTATAATATTTTTCAACATATTTATCTGATAATTGACGCATGTTTATGAACCCTTTTTTCTCCATTTACCAATACTAGTGACCCGATCTGTTATTTAAGAATAGATTCACATTACCGTTCTTTTGATAAAGATGGTGTTCGAGATTTAACGAGTGCTTTCGGTGGATCAGGTGTCGTTCTCGGAATTATAGCTCGTGACAAAGCACAGTTTAAGATAACTAACCATTAACCCATTTCACGGTTGTTTCTCAAACATAGAATCGAACTCGTGTGGTGTGTTTGACGTGTAATCACTCTGCCTTCTGGACTACAGTGAAACCCCCTAAAAGTCCCAAGCCGTAAATCCGTGATCCCCTTTTTTCCGGGCGATGATAGTTGTAACGATTGGAGCCAAAGCGATATTACGACGTGCAAGTGATTCGGGAAGCCGGGCAAATCATTGTCCGGTTTGACGGGGTTTCACTGTACACACACCCATTATCCATAATTTACCCCCGCCTCTGTAGTCTAGTGGATAGAGCGTCTGCCTGTAAAGAGGAAGGTCGGTGGTTCGATCCCCGGCCGCGTCATAAAAAGGACGTTACACAATGGTACTTGTTGTTACCCTGTCTGGCGTTCGGCTTCAAAGGGATAAAACAGGGCCTCGGGGTGAGTGTAATGTTCCTGAGGGGGTATCCATCAGAAGCCACGGCATGTATCTCAGTGGGCTAGCACAACCGGCATTCGTCCGGACTAGCACAAGCATCCACCTGCATGCACGTCGCTATAGAAGTGTAATGATCTTGACCGCGGCGTTAAACCAATTTCACCTCACGTCACCCCACCCTAATAAAAGTATCTTTGGGACAATATATGTTACACATTTGTATAGGTTACAGTCATTGTATAAATTCACTCCACAAAGTACTTCTGACGGTAGGGTAGCCAAGCGGCTCAAGTGTTTGCTCTTCCCGCCGAGTACAATGTTTGAAGCCAATTTCTGGGGCTTGTATCTTGTCTCATCACTGTTGGATAGTGGTTCATGAACACACGCACATGAAACAGTCTTTTGGTTTGGTTTGGTTTGTTGTTTAACGCCGCACTTAGCAATATCCCAGCTTTATGACGGCGGTCTGTAAATGATCGAGTCTGGACCAGACAATCCAGTGATTAAAATCATGAGCATCGATCCACGCAATTGGGATCAATGACATGCATCAACCAAGCCAGCGAGCCTGACCACCCGATCCCGTTAGTCGCCTTTTACGACAAGCATAGTCACCGTTTACGGCAAGCATGGGATGCTGAAGACCTATTCTACCCCGGAATCTTCACGGGGAGACAAGCATGGGTTGCTGAAGACCTATTCTACCCCGGAATCTTCACGGGTCACATGATACAGTCTGAATCGTACACTGGACGCTGATTTTTGCAGAGATTTCTCATGTTGATGGAGAGGACTGTGTTGCTTTTATTGACATTTGACGTATTTATTGACTAGTAGCAAAATGAAATCACAAATTAGCAATAAATGCAAGATGTATTCTGATATTCCTCAATGTAAGTATCGCGTGTATTAATATATGCTATGTTTAATTCAACGTGGTTGTAATAAAGTACAAGGCAATTTAATCTCTCCCCGGCTCTGCGTTCTTCCTTCTATGTAAGTGAGGTCTACCTGCTGAGTGCGTGGCCCTGACGAGGCGACATACCTGTGTCGGGGGGTAAGGCGACAACCCCACGAACGCTACAGGTAATGTCTCTCACCTGCATTAGTTCTGCTTCATGTCGATACAAGGCTGCAAATATGGCATCCATCTTCCTGCTAGCCGTTCTTTTACAGATTGGGTCTGTTCACAGTCAAGTAGATGGAGGGTAGGTATCATATAGTTTTACGTTGAAAATATAAATTATAAAAAAGTCCAGGTTCGAAGCAAAATTCATCAAGACTCACAAATTGTCTGCATTAAAATACGTTCTGTTCCGGCCTTGATATTATTGTTTGTGGAATGGTACTTTTCGATGATGTCTTCAAGTAATTGTAAATTCGTAATTTTGTTTATGTACTTTATGAAGCTGCAGTTTTAATGGTATTCTCCATTCAGCATCATGGAGATCCACTACCCAGACATAGTGCTGGAGACAGAGGGGGATGGTAACATCACGTTTGGGGTGAGTTTACTGAAATCATAACGGTATTAGATAACGGTTTTTACCGTTTTGCAGCACCAGCAGTTTCTGGGATGTCATGAAGTGTTTAAAGTTGGGTTTACCTATATTGGTGTTATAACTGTAGATTGGATGTGATGAGTTCGGACTGATTCCATCTGTTGCAGGCGGGTTCTGCTGGCAGCGTTTACCTCAGGCCTGGGATAGGGGGGACTGTGTTGTATCACGGCTTTGATCTCCTGTACTTCATCAAGGTGAGAGATCACAGAACACAAAACATGTACAGTAAACTACGGTTATAACGAACTCAAAGGGACCACTAAATTTAGTTCGTTATAACCGTAGTTCGTTATAACCGTAGTTCGTTATAAGCACATTTACAACATATATACAGCAAATGGACATGTATGTCATGTATAACGATTTACATTTAACACAGAACACATAACATATTACATATAACACATTGCATGTACCTATATATTTTATACCCAACCCATTACACGCAACATGTAAATAACACATTACAGGACATATATAACATTATTAACATATATTAACATTTCTCGTTAAAGAATTTAGCTTCCTGATTGGTCAGTTGCCGTCTGGTTAAAAAAAGTCGATTGGCTTGCCTGTGCGGATATCATGACGTCATAATGTTTGTTGTGACGTCAATTACTTGACACGTCACAGATGACCCTGTTCGCTTTTCGATCTACCATGCTGAAAGTCTGTTCTTGGTCACTTAATTGACTTGTCGCAAGCTCCGAAGTTCATACAGTTCGGCCCTCACTCTATGAAGGTTCATACTCCAATGAACTCACACAAAGTGAAAGTCAATTCTTATAATTTTTTTATATCACTATCGAAAGATGTCGGCCTAAATCTTTACACAATTTTATGAAGTGGTACATGCGACTTCCTGTTTAGCCTGACAGCCATACTACAACCACCTGTATCGCGGAATAAAATAGTTGCTAAAAAGAGGTGACATTGGCGTATATATGTGTTGTAGTTTGTTTAAAACAAATATATTCTACTAATATCATCATTGGATGAGAAAGGTGAGATTTGCCCCAGTTATGACCCTTTTTTTGTCAGCACCTTACCAGTGCTCGTGTGTGTCACCAAACGTGTTAAAGACCTGCGTCAATCTGCGTCCCATAATAAGGCTGACACGCCATGACGTATAACTGAAATAATATTCAAAGCGGCGTTAAGCGACATTGGCTGACAACTGGCAGAAATGTAGTTAGGTTAATAAAAGTTGTCAAATCTGAATGGAATTAATCATAAGGTGTTATATTGTGTCTGTTTTGCCTCTCCTCATTAAAAACAGGCGCAAGACCATGAACTGACGGTAAGGTAAGGAACGTCGCGTCCAAGATTATTGCACTTATATAGCGACATGCATGCACGTGTGTGTGTGTGTGTATGTGTGTGTGTGTGTGTGTGTGTTTGGCTGCTTGTACTAGTCCGGACTGATACCGATTTATAGTGCTAGCTCACTGAGATACCATGCCGCAGTTTAACATGAATGCCCCACTCAGACACAGTATACCGACCAGTCCTTGTTTTAGCCCCTTAATGCCGAGCGCCAGACATGGTAACAACAAGTACCATCTTTTAACATCTTTTGGTATGACGCGGCCGGGATCGAACCCAGGAACTTTCGCTCTCCGGGTGGACGCTCTACCACCAGACCACGGAGGCGGTTCCATGAACTACTAAAGTACTGTAGCATGACACTTGTATATTCTCTGTTGCTTGCAGATCATGAAGAGTTTCCCGCCAGTTTGGGGCACTCCGTCAGCTGTTGGTTTTTTCGGCAAATACAACGGCGGGGATTACGTCAACGTGACGCTGAACGCCCAGGTACCAGGTCATGACCTCATTAGTTTTAAGCTTTCGGTCTTTTTAAGAGAATTCAGTCTACAACAAAGCACAGTCATTCCTTCAAAATGATATTCATCAACAGTTAAATACAAATGCCTTCTGCTTCCCGTCAACATTGTCCTATTAGTTGATTAAACTGTCTCTTGGAATCCTTCCCCACATGGGTGCAATGTGTGAAGCCCATTTTTGGTGTCCCCTTCCGTGATATTGCTGAAATATTGCTAAAAGCGGCGTAAAATTATATTCACTCACTCACTCTTAGAGTCCTACTGTTGCTCTCCATCTCATATTCATTTGTATATCAGTCCTGGAATTAACGGTCAGAATAGGCGCCTCATGCTTGTAGCAGGGTCTGACTGACGAGGTCAAGGAAGATATAAGGTGTGACCAGGCCAATGTGTCGGCATGTGTTCATGCTATTGACCACCGTTTGCTTAGCTACCCAACCGCCCCTAATGATCAGTGATCAATATTTGTTTAGGACCCTGAAGGGGAACAATTGCTTTACACAATCGTGGCCGGTGACCTTCCCACTGGTATTGACCTTGACCCAACAGAAGGTGTCATCCGGGGCATCGCCCCCGACGAAAACGCATTTTACGTTGTCACCATACGGGCATCTGACAATCAACACAAGCATGCTGACGCTGTCTTCCGGTTTGAAACTAAAGGTATGTGTTACTGGCAAAAGTAAACACATGACGTAATTTGGAACAAGATTTATGTAATCATTGGTGATTGGTTCATATATATAAAGACCCATGAAAATCCAGGGTAGAATAGGTCTTCTACAACCCATGCTTGCCGTAAAAGGCGACTACGCTTGTCGTAAGAGGCGACTATTGGGATCGGGTGGTCAGTCTTGCTGACTTGGTTGATGCATGTCATCGTATCCCAATTGTGTGGATCGATGCTTATGATGTCAATCACTGGATTGTCTGGTCCAGACTCGATTATTTACAGACCGGCGACATATAGCTGGAATATTACTAAATGCGGCGTTAAACAACAAATAAACAAACAATCATATATACGTAACGTCAAAGCCAGATAATAACCAGTCTCGATTATCTGCCCAAACAGATTTCACTGAGCGTAAAAGGCAAAATAACGGTGAAAAGTATATCAATGGGTCACTGAAAATCAGTGATGACACCAGGTGTTCGCGAAAGGGGTAGGGTGTCCTAAACATCCCCATCCCTCCTTCAGATACCGACAGATGCAAGCTCCTTACACCGTGTCAGAACGGCGGAGATTGTGAGGACAGGAATGGCTTCTACAAGTGCATTTGTGTCGGGGTCTTTGGAGGCACAAACTGCGAGAGAAGTAAGCATAAATCACGTACACGTAGTCCAAGGGTCTTAATCCTATGACTACTCATCTAGACCTAATCTTCCAAGGAAGATAACAGTTACTAGATTACTAGATATATCTACAGCACGAAGACCGCAAACGATTTTTGTAAGAAGTTCTGGATGGATTGGGGTAAATAAAGAGTATGTTTTTTTGTAGTAGCCTCCTAATGATGTTAATTGTTTGATATTTTCCGTGATAATTAGTCCTCAGTTTTAATCCTCAAAAGGATTATCGAGTGAAACGGAATTTGTAAGAGTATTTGTGTGTTTTGATTTTCCATGAATAAAATTGAAAACACATCCCGAGAAAAAAAAGTGTATACTACTCAAAAGAAGTTAAAGAACACCCGATTTGTTTCTGTGACTATGGCTAATCTGTTATTACTGATGGGTATAGCAACACAATATTCTTATTGTAGGTATTCCTTAACTTGTTTTGTGTAGTATATATCTCGTCTTTGGCGTCGCCGCTCTCTATGAAGTGTAAGTGTAGTACATGATGTCGATTCGTGTTTCTCTCAGCATGTAATGAAACATCATTCGGGGTCGACGCCCATCACAAGGTGATCCCAGACGCACAGATGTCTGCGTACCGGAGTCATAACACCAGCTTGGCCTCTGATGGACGTCTGAACGGGAAGGGGTGGTGTGGGATGGATCAACGCTCCTGGCTGCAGGTGGATCTGGGTACGTGTTTCACTACTACTACTACTACTACTACTACTACTACTACTACTACTACTACTACTACAGCCAAAAGTTAAATCGTTCGCTCGTCAGGCCGAATACTACTACTACTACTGCTGCTGCTGCTACTACTCTGCTACCAAAACTATTACTACTACTACTACTACTTATATTACTGCCACGACTACTACTTTCACTACAACTATTGGAACGTTGTGGTAGCCTAGTGGTTAAATCGTTCGCTTGTCATGCCGAAGAAGGGTTCGATACTCAGTTCAACAAATGGTACTACTACTACTACTCCTACTACTACCACCACTTATACTACCACTACTACTACTACCACCACTTATACTACCACTACTACTACTATTACTACTACCACAACCACTACTACTACTACTACTACTACCATCACTGATACTACCACTACTACTATTACTACCACAACTTCAACTACTACTACTTCTATTACTACTACTACCAATGATACTACCACTACTACTACGACTACTACAACCTCCTGATTCGGGGTAGAATAGGTCTTCAGCAACTCATGCTTGCCGTAAAAGGCGACTATGCTTGTCGTAAGAGGCGAGTAACGGGATCGGGTGATCAGGCTCGCTGACTTGGTTGATGCATGTCATCGGTCCCAATTGCGTGGTTCGATGCTCATGATGTCAATCATTGGATTGTCTGGTCTAGACTCGATTATTTACAGACCGCCGTCATATAGCTGGAATATTGCGGCGTTAAACAACAAACTAACTAACTAACTAACTGCAGCCTCCATATTGAACTGGTTAATAAGTGTACAGTCCACTCACTAACCCACACACTGCTGCTGCTATAGCTCGTAACACTGTCATCCCAAGGTAAACCGAGGCTCGTGCACCGCGTGTTGATGGAGGGGATCACCACCAACCTCTACACCGGCCTCTATGAACTTCAGCACAGCGAGGACGGCCAAAGCTTCAACAACTACACCACGACTCCGTCAGCGAACTCAACAGCCACACCCGTCGTCCTGGTGAGTCGGAATACCTCACTAGATAACACTGATGAAAATACTAGCTGCAAAACCCTTACGATTCCACAATCATAACTTATTTTAGCTATACGATTCCAACTATTTCATTAGGTGAGGTGAGGTGAAATGGGGATTAACGTCGCGTCCAAGATTATTGCACTTATATAGCGACGTGCATGTACGTGTGTGTATTTGTGTGGCTGCTTGTACTAGCTTGGACTGATGCCGATTTATAGTGCTAGCTCACTGAGATACCATGCCTCAGTTTAACATGAATACCCCACTCAGACACAGTATACTGACTCCGAGCCGACCAGTCCTTGTTTTAGCCCCTTAATGCCGAGCGCCAGACAGAGTAACAACAAGTACCATCTTTTAACGTCTTTTGGTATGACGCGGTCGGGGATCGAACCCCGGACCTTCCGCTCTCCGGGCGGACGCTCTACCACTAGACCACGGAGGCGGTCCTATTTCATTGGCATACGTAGCATACGAATCACTGTCAGATAGTGAGGACACAAGTGGCACCCACAGGAACTCGATGATAGCGTGTATAACATAATATATTCGTATAGAAAAAAATCACACCCCTCTATATACATACATATAGAGGGGTGTGAATATATTATGTTTTACACGCTATCATCGAGTTCCTGTGGTGGCACCCTAACAAAGACTTTGGAACCCCACTGAACATTTCAATATGGTTTCACCTGTGTTCGAGTCCGTGGTCATCATTCCATGTGGCTGAATCAAGCACGAATTCGATAGTGCGTATGCCTTAATAACTGTATCATGAACCCGTAAAGATCCGGGGTGGAATAGGTCTTCAGCAACCCATGCTTGTCGTAAAAAGCGACTAACGGGATCAGGTGGTCGGACTCGCTGAATTGGTTGATACATGTCATCGGTCCCAATTGCGTGGATCGATGCTCATGATGTCAATCACTGAATTGTCTAGTCCAGACTCGATTATTTACAGACCGCCGTCACATAGCTGGAACATAGTGCGGCGTTGAACAACAAACAAACAATATGTCATGATAATGCGTCATATCGTTGGCCAAATTCAACATTATATGAGTTTTTGATATATAACAATTTCGGCGTTTTTACATTATAACAAGAAGGATATACGATGTTATCTGCGTTATAACAAGGACGACGTAGTGACCGAGGCGGGGACGGTTAGTACCATGAGTGAGTGAGTGAGTTGGGTTTCACGCCGATTTTAACAGTCTTCAGTTACAACACGGAGTGTCAGCTTAATGTGGGAGGAAAGCCCGAAGTGATGCAGGTCACAGACGTTTACCACTTCGGTGAAACCCACGAACACGTGTATGGTGCTGAAAAACCAAGAAACATACTTGGGCTACCTGGGATTCGAACCCACAATCATAGGTTTCTGGCGTGTCCAAGGGACGCAACTCTGCGAATCGCGGCGCCTTAGACGACTGGGCCACCCGTGCCCCAAGTAATACCATGAAGGATAGTGATGTTAATGATTTTGTAGCTGACTTGTGATTGTTGTGTTCCCTCTCCAGGACTTTAAACAGAAATGTCTTTAAGCAGGATATATGCGTTGAAAATTTAAGTTAAAATCTTGAAAAATTCAACTTAGGATCTTGAAATTTCAAGATCATTATTTTGAAATTTCAACTTTGTATTTATCTTGAAATTTCAACTTAGTATCTTGAAATGTCAACATAGCATTTTGAAATTTTAACTTTGTATCTTGAAATTGCAAGATAATAAGTTGAAATTCAAGTTATCTTAAGATTTAAGTTATCTTAAGATTTCAACTTATTATCTTGAAATTTCAACTTTGTGTCTTGAAATTTCCACAAAGCATCTTATAAATTTCAACTTAGTATCTTGAAATTTCAAGGACATTGGTTAGAAATTTCAACTTAGTATCTTGAAATTTCAAGGACATTGGTTAGAAATTTCAACTTAGTATCTTGAAATTTCAAGGACATTGGTTAGAAATTTCAACTTAGTATCTTGAAATTTCAAGAAAAACAAACAAACACAACAAAAGCTTCCGTAAATATAACCTCTACTTTTGAAAATAATATTCCATGTTTTTTATGTGAAATTATATAACATCATCTACTGAACTGAGAAAAAAACTCACCAACGACAAATTTCCCGTGAACTTTATTGCAGAAAATGGAAGGTAACAGTACAATCACCGATGCACTGTTACCGTCAGTGCTGACCACCCGCTATGTGCGCTTCCTGCCTCTCAGCTACGGCACCGGGTTCTATCCTTGCATGAGGGTCGACCTCTTCGGCTGCGACATCTTCAACTAACCATCACAAATACTATGTAATTCTGCACAGAGCTACATATTAAAGGTCGCCGTATACTCAATGGTCTTGTTTTTCTTCTTGTCAACAACGTATTAAACATGTTATTGCTGATACCTCTGACCTGTTACAAAGTTCGCCATAATGTCTTACGACAAAGGCGTAATTTTACGTGAGTGTGTGTTTGTTCGTTTGTTTGTTGTTTAACGCCACCCAGCAATATTCCAGCTATATGACGCCGGTCTTTAAATAATCGAGCCTAGACCAGACAATCCAGTGATTGACATCATGAGCATCGATCCACACAATTGGGATACGATGACATGCATCAACCAAGTTAGCGAGCCTGACCACCCGATCCCGTTAATCGCCTCTTACGACAAGCATAGTCGCCTTCTACGGCAAGCATGGGTTGCTGAAGACCTATTCTACCCTGGATCTTCACGGGTCCAGAGTGAGTGAGTGAGTGTAATAATGTTAATGCATAGAGTCCACACCCTGAAGCGTGCTCAAAACGCTTTATTACCCTGGTGATTGGATCGATGTGCCTTCGATTCTGATTCTCAGCTTCCACAAGCTGCCTCTTAGAAGGTGAACAGTCACAGTACCATTTCATCCTACCGGGTACCCATTCACTGCTGGGTGAACAGAGGCCTATTTCGAACATAGTCACTTGCCTTAGTAGAAACGTGCTCTTTAAACATGCTGCTCATCGATTAGATGTCAAAAAACAGCTGTCTAAGCGACTATTTTCAGCCCTGTTACGTTTTGATAAGGTTTGTAATTCTTTGGTACAATTCGATTTTTAAGTGTATGATTTCTTTTGCTTGCCAGTTTATCAGAAAAGAAGTGATTCATTGACTAGTGATTTCGCGAAACCTATGGTTCTGGGTTCGACTCCCTGTTCCCCTCTATTATGTTTCTGGGTTTGTCAGCACCACGTCCGGGCCCGTGGGTTTCACCGAAGTGGTAAACGTCTGACACCGGCATCCCTTCGGGCTTCCCCCACATTAAGCTGACACGCCGCGATATGACTGGGATACTGTTAAAAGCGTTAAACCAGACTCACTCATTTACTCTCATACCAGTTTCAAACTATTGCATATATTTAAATCGATATGTTTAAATAACTGGCATTTGCATTTGCATTTAGGTACATTTAACTTTGTGATATCTTCCACGGGTGGGGTTGTGTTGCTTAGCTATGCCAGGATCCGCGAAACTTTGGCCCGAATCCAAGATTCCCCGTAATTAGGATGATGATCAGTCTGCGTCATACAGTAAGGTGTCGACAAACAAGGAATATCAGTTGATTCTAACTGATCATCAAGGTTTAGAAGCCAAGGCATTCGATGAGAACATATATGTACTGCAGCGCGATTTTGGTCCATACTGAGATCTGGATTAGTGAGAGTGCGTTTTGGATCTTTGAATAAATGTTTCTGGAGTTCAAGTGTCAGTCTGCTACAGAGGATCGAGCAGTACACTCCAGGCATGTATTTACATACTCGGTATTACGATGTGAGGTAACCAGCTACTGAACACGACGCCCATCTAACAGCGACAAGGAGAGTAGATTACATTTGGAAAATAAGGGTCACGGATGGCCCAGTCGTCTGAGGCGACGCAATTCGCCGTGCAGAGTTGCGTTCCTAGTCCTACCGAAATCTTATGATCGTGGGTTCGAATCCCGGTTCGCCTGATTATGTTTTTAGGTTTGTCAGCACCGTGCCCGTGCTCGTGGGTTCACCGAAGTGGTAAATGTCTGAGACCTGCATCACTTCGGGCTTTCCTCCCACATTAAGCTGACACGCCCTGATATAACTGGAACGATGTTTAATGCCGTTCCACTAACTCATTCTGTCCGTATATAATACAAAATTCTTATTCAGACAAATTCACGTATTCTATATAGCACAGCCGATTAACTCTGGCAAGTGCTGAATTACAAGATCAATATTACCTCAGGTTTGTGAAAAGAAATCCTAGGAAAAGACGCTTTTAAAGAATAAAACCATAGAAGTTTGATAATATTGCTTTACATATATACTCAACGGCAAACTTTAAGGTTTCGTTTGAGGGTGGTGAGGTAGCCTAGTAGCTAAGCCGTTCGCCCATCACGCCGTAGACCCGGGTTCGATGGGTGCAATGTGTGAAGCCAATTTCTGGTGTCTCCAGTCGTGATCTTAGTGGAATATTGCTAAAAGCCGCGTAAAACTATACTCACTCACTCACTCACTCAAAGGTTCGTGTATACCACACTAAATCGCATGTCTTGTTTGTTTTTGTTTAACGCCCCATTCATGAATATTGCAGCTGTGTGATGGCGGCCTGTAATTAATCGATGTATGCATATATACTCTCACTGTTAAAATATATTCATATAAACACAACTTTAGATATAGAGAGATTTGTTAAGAAGAGCAAAAAAACTGTCTCTTTTTCTTGAATGTTTTTAAGTGTACAGGTGTTTAGTTGGGCTGTAGATCACACACTAGGTCTTAATGTAAACATATTCAAGCTTTCAAATGCAAATTAACAAAGAAATGTTTTTTATGTTGTTTGTGTTATTATTTCACGCGTTATGGAGAAATGCATTTTTTTATTTTCATCAGAGATGCACTATTTAAAAGTAATATAACATTTTAGGTGCACGTGGACTACTATTTGTCCTAAACACATCACCAGTCTTCTATGACCTACCGTAACAGGTATCGTGTTGTGAATACAGTTAACTATGGGTGACATCAAGTTATAAGTCCATATCATCATCATTTTAAATCAAAAGATTTATACGACCACAGGTACTGTTTCCTTAAACCTGAGGGGCGGTCGGGTAGCCTAGTGGTTAAAGCGTTCGCCCGTCACGCCGAAGACCCGGGTTCGATTCCCGACATGGGTACAATGTGTGAAGCCCGTGTCTGGCGTCCCCCGCCGTGATATTGCTGGAATATTGCTAAAAGCGGTGTAAAACCAAACTCACTCACTCACTCCTTAAAGCTGAATTCAGTTTGCTATGAGTGACATCAGCCCGTAAAGTTATACAGTCCATATCATCATCATTTTAAATGAACAGATTTATACGACCACAGTTACTGTTTCCTGAAAGCGCTCAGATTTCTAAGAACGCAAGCCTGTGTTATAACCCATGCCTGGATGCCGACGTTGTGAAGGGACGCGGCCCACCTTTAACTCTTACATTGCTGTGCCGAGACATCAGCTAAAATGGCGTCTCTCCTCACATTAGTGAGTATCTTAATCCGCATCGTGTATAGTAGCTCTCAGGCAGATGGAGGGTACGTATCTTGTTTTCATGATTATTGAACTATATCCTATTAAAACTATAAACACGGTCATAATTTTCTGTATCTGAATTCATGCGTTAATATTCCAACAGAAAGTGCTGCAATATTTAAAAGAAATTATACACCTGCCAAAACATCTACCTGACTTCGATGTAAGTCGTGATGGTCAGGTTATAGGATAAGGATGTTGTGGATAATTTATATTTCACTGTTATGTTCATCGACTGGCACCCATTGGCCCAGTTGGTATACGGCGCCGCAATTCGATATGTATGTAGAGTTGCGTCCCTTTTCTGTACCTGGATCAGCTGATTGCGGGTTCGAATTTCAACATTCGCCCTAAATAAGTTTTCTTTGGAATGTAAGCACCATAAACCGACGTCACCATAGTGGTAAACGTCGAATTGGGAATACCTCCCATTTAAGCTAAGTTAAGTTATGCATTGATATAACTGAAATAGTGTTAACACGTTCATTCATTCTTTATCAGCATCATGGAGATCCACTATCCAGACCTGATCCTTGAGACGGAGCTTGATGGAGACATTAATCTAGGGGTAATACTAATTTCTATTTTGCATGGTATACGCATATATATATATAAGGTATATAACGGCGTGTCAGCTTGATGTGGAAGGAAACCCGAGGGGTGCAGGTCTCAGACGTTTACAACTTTGGTGAAACCCACGAGCACGCGTATGCCAACCGAGATACATATATATCATAATCAGGGCGAATCTGGATTTCAAACGCAAGATTTTAGGTTTCTTGCATGCCTAATGGGCGCAATTCTGTTCATTAAATTGCGGCGCCTTAGACGACAAGGACACTCGAACAAGAAGACCATCCATGTTTATTTTGTTGAAACTACATAATCTTTGATACACTGATATTCCAAATATTCAATGGTATGCCTCACTGATAAATTACAATTGGAAGTCATAGGAACTGAAAAACTCCAATATCTTAGTACCGTAAACTACGGTTATAACGAACACGCTTATAACGAACTGACGGATATAACGAACTTACTTTTTTGGTCCCGACTATTTGCTGTAGTTATGCTGTATATATGCTTATAACGAACTACGGTTATAACGAACTAAAATTAGTAGTCCCCTTGAGTTCGTTATAACCGTACTTTACTTTATTCCTAAAAGAAAAGCATGCAATATCATCTCTACTTATGTGTCGATATGGTGCAGTGATGAGTTGTTCTATGTAAACGAAATATTTCGATCTGGTATCATAATCTGTTACGCATGAAATTGATATTACCTTCCTGACACAGGCCGGGTCAGGCGGAAGCGTACACATATCCCCCGGGATGGGAGGAACTGTGATGTATGGCAGCCTGGACCTCCTCGAGTTTGTCAGGGTATGGAACTCTAAGACTTCAATATGTATAGATCCCTGCCGTGTGCGGTTATTTGCGAGGGACCGACCCGTGAATATCGAGGTAGAGAATAGGTCTTCAGCCATCCATGTTTGTCTTAAGAGGCGACCAACGGGATTGGGTGGTCAGGCTCGCTGACTTGGTAGATGCATGTCATCGTATCCCAATTGCGTGGATCGATGCTCATGATATCAGTCACTGGATTGTCTGGTCCAGGATTATTGGAATATCTGGAATATTGCTGAGTGCGACGTTAAACAGCAAACAAACAAACAAACTTGCGAGAGTGCCATTCCCCTCCTCCCCTGGTCTCTATCTATTGTTTCACTCTAAGTGTCATTGTTCGCCCCAGATATACTACCTAAAACAAATCTCAAAAGCATTGAGAAAACGTTGCGATTTGAATTACTGAAAACATATCGAAAAAGTACGTCAATTTTTTTAAAATGTGGAATCTACGTACCAAATACGATTTTATTTGCGTCCCGCGTACCACACTGCTGAGTCCCGAAGACTCTGTAAATAGTCCCCCGAATCCCGCGTACGAAAAGGGGTTGGCAACCTCACTTGCGTTATAGATTTATCAAATGGCCTCATAAATAACTCTTTTTCAGATCATGCAGAGTTTCCCGCCAGTTTGGGGCACCCCGTCAGCTGTTGGTTTCTTCGGCAAATACGACGGCGGAGACTTCGTGAATGTGACGCTCAACGCCAAGGTGACGTACTAATCCACACATTACTGTAGACGAGGGGTATTTTCACGTTTATGGAAGAGCTGGACGAGGATAACACGGAATGGTTTAAGGGACGGCGATGTGTCCAGATATTCACTATGGAACTGGGGAGTAGGGTAGTCTAGTGGTTAAAGCCTTCGCTCGTCATGCCGAAGACACGGGTTCAATTCCCAACATGGTCTCAGTATGTGAATCCCATTCCTGATGTCCCCCGCCGTGATATAGCTGGAATATTGCTAAAATCAGAGTAAAACCAACCTCCCTTATTAAATATTGAACTTGTCTTATCGTTCTGTCAATCACAAATAGTATAGTGCGCATTTCAAGGTCATTGCTCACATTTTGTCCCTCAAGCGTTGGTGCCTGTGAATTGATAAGTTCCCACCCTTAAAGTGCATTAACCGTTTCTGTTGGGTGAATTCAAAGGAAACGCGTCGCAACGATGATATACATGTTTGTAGGCAATAGTCACAAATCCATCCGCACAACATAATGTGGCTATACATTCATATCTGATAGTTTATGAGTGAACCATTTAAGGAATGAATGCCAGTAATTGTTTGCATCTGCAGTTTTAACATGATGGTTTGAGTTTAAACACTGTCAGAAGGTGGCGTGTTTTCGATGGCGGACAATAGCACACGTTTGAAATTGTTTGCAAATCATCAGTTGTTCCCCAGGACCCAGAAGGTGACGAGTTGATTTACACAGTCGTTGCTGGAGACCTTCCTCCTGGCATCATTCTTGACCCCCGAAAAGGTGTCATCCGGGGTCTTGCTCCGGACGAGAACGCCCTCTATGTTGTCACCATCCGGGCATTTGACAACCAGCACAAACACGCCGATGCAATCTTCCGGTTCGAAACTAGAGGTAAACTCCCGAAGATATTTATCAGATGTGCTTAAAAATGTGGCCGATGAAGGGAGCACAGATGTGCTTAAAAATGTGGCCGATGAAGGGAGCAGTGTTTGTGCTAATAATCTTTTGGTGTTGTTGATTGAAATTCAGGGTATTGACACCATCACACGAAGAATCATGTCAGACAGTAGATCCCACCCCATTGCTCTTCCCTCAATCGTTTATATTTACCATTATAATGGGAGGGCGAGGTTTGATTAACTTGGAGGCTCTTCATGATAGAATGTTTTTTTGCACTTTTGCACACATTTGATCTTCTTGTGAAGTACGTCAAGACTCATGATGAAAACAAGGCGTTCCACAGTTTTCTAAAACGAGTCAAGGATGTGGGACATAATCTCAATGTCAGCGTTGATTTTGTTGATGGTTTTGTACTGCTGGACGGTACAGAAATGAGTGTCAACCTAGCGAAGTGCCATATCAAATCGGCCCAGAATCAGTTTTTCAAGGATTTGCTATCTGAACAACCACTGCATCGTGTTTATGTGCAGAGTGTTGAGAAAAACAGCAACTCCTCAGAGTCTGTCGCTTGGTTGAAGGCATTCTGTTTGCTGCTCAGGACCAGTCACTTCCCACTCGAAACCCTCAATGTGTGATTTTGCATCAAACTGTAAATTTGAAATGTAGATTATGCGATGAATTTAATGACACTGTCCAACACATTGTCAGGGGATGCCCAGCTTTGGCACAAACACAGTATCTTAAACGACATGATGGAGTAGCTCGATCATTTATAAACCGCAATGCTTGTGGTTTTGACACAGAGGTCTACCCATGGTACGACCCAGAATATGTTTGACTAGACATAATAATAATAATAATAATAATAATAATAATAATAATAATAATAATAATACACTGGAAAAATAAGTGCCAAAAATCCGGGAGGTGGTTGTGGTATTTTTATAAGGAATGTATTCACAATATTTATTGGCAAGAAAAGAGTATTTATGATATTTCCTCGAGTTATTTGTCTTGCAGACACTGACAGGTGTTTGTTACGAGCGCCATGCAAGAACGATGGCGTCTGTGTCGACATGAACGGCCTCTACCAGTGTCATTGCGCCGGCATCTTCGGTGGGAGGGACTGTGAACGAGGTATGAACATATTAATCAATTAAACAGATAATGTTTGTTAAGTATTCAAATACAATACCTAGCAGGGAAGGTTGGGTAGCCTGGTGCTCAGAGGTCCAGATTCAATTCCCCATATTGGTACAATGGTGTCCCCAGCCATGATGGCTAATAGTCACACTCACTCACTCACCCACCCACCCGCCCACCCACTCACTCACTCACTCACTCACTCACTCACTCACTCACTCATTCACTCACTCAGTATGCGTTCAATTTGACATTCTTTCGAGTGAGTGAGAGATTCCGTGTTCAATTTAGATCAAAGTAGTTCTGTTTATGTAACATTTAAAGAAACCCGGAAGTGACAAAAACTACCACTTTCGTGAAACACTAGACCTCGTTCGGTGCTGATATACCAAGGATCACCCAGGGCGAATCTGAGATTAGAATCAACAACCAAAGAATTTGACCAAAGGCAGTTACGACGCCTTGGCCACCTTGTAAAACAGAGCTCTTTTACAAGACGTATCTAAGCCTTTATTATGAACATTGTAACATTTTATTCTGAAATTATAAAGAAGCTATGTTTGTGAACTGATGGCATCCAGAATGTAATGAAACCACCCTGGGTGTGGACGCCAACTCACAGTTCATCCCGGACGCCCAGATGTCCGCCTACCTCAGTCTGAACCAGAGTCTGGCCAGTGACGGGCGTCTGAACGGGAGGGGTTGGTGCGGCAGGGAGGCCTACTCGTGGCTACAGGTGGACTTGGGTACGTAGTTAATAGGCGTGCATATATATATATATATCAGGCAGGATGAGGTGAGGTGAGGTGAAATTGGGTTTATTGCACTTGTATAGCGACGTGCATGCACGTGTGTGTGTGTGTGTGTGTGTGTGTGTGTGTGTGTGTGTGTGTGTGTGTGTGTGTGGCTGCTTGTACGAGTCCGGACTGATGCCGATTTAAAGTGCTAGCCCACTGAGATACCATGCCGCAGTTTAAGTTGAATACCCCACTCAGACACAGTATACTGACTCCGAGCCGACCAGTACTTGTTTTAGCCCCTTAATGCCGAGCGCCAGGCAGGGTAACAACAAGTACCATCTTTTAACGTCTTTTGGTATGACGCGGCCGGGGATCGAACCCCGGACCTTCCGCTCTCCGGGCGGACGCTCTACCACTAGACCACGGAGGCGGTCATCGGACAGGATGGATGGAAGAACGAGAGTAATTTTAACTTCTTATAATGAGTGCAATATAGCGGTTGTAAAAACTGGTTTATCAGTTACAACCACGTGATTTAAACTGCTGCACTGTCTCACTACAGCACAATGCAAATTAACGACCCGCTTAGATAGAGTGAGTGAGTATGGTTTTATGCCGCTTTTAGCAATATTGAAGCAATATCACGGCGGGGTTCACCAGAAATGGGCTTCACACATTGTACCCATGTCGGGAATCGAACCCTGGTCTTCAGCGTGACGAGCGAACGCTTTAAACACTAGGCTACCCGACCGCTCCCGACCCGCTTGGAGAGTGCCTTGTCATCTTCCCGAGGTAAGGGCATTAACTGACTATATAAGTCCAGTTTCCACCCTTGCCGAACTAGGCTGGAATTCCGGAGTTACATTTTGGCTGGACTAACGAGTCCATGCATAATCCAATCAAAATCGCGTAACGAACTAGACATCCGGTTCATAAACAACATGGATTTCAAAGTGCAGATTTCGGTCGACTGCAGGATTTGCAAAGCATGTGTACCACCAACTTGGCGTAGACAGATATTTTCCAAATCTGTTCATGTTTTTAATCAAGGTGCTCAAGTGTTTTACCGTTTTATTACAATATAAATCTTGATTTTCGATCAGATCGTCTTGACTGGGCGCCGCCATTTTGTTTGAAGCAAATGCAAGTGATATGTGAGATGGCTTCTGATTGGTCAATAGGAGAATCATAGAAGGGACATAACTCATGATAGCCACTGGTAGCGCTAAGATCGAGCCTGAAATTTCCAGCCTAGTTCGGCAAGGGTGGAAACTGGATTTTTATAGTCATTTAACGACCTTGCCTCGGGAAGATGGTGCCTTGTCGATTAGCGGACATTATGTTAAGTCCGCGAAAGTGGTGACATTTTCTTTTTTCTCTTTCCTTTAAGGAGAGTGAATAATATAGAAAAGCATACAACAAAACTTGAAATTAAGGACTCTCTGTTTTTCATAAACAATGTGTTCATCATTTATTTTCTCTGACTTGTGATATATAACCCATTAGCCAGTTAGTTATTCACTAAGACGTTAGCCCTTCATTGTCTGTGCTTGACCGTGGTCTATTTTGGTCCTTGCTTGTCCTGGTTCGATTCTGCTTAACCTTGTTGGTCAGGGGTGGGTCGTGTTTGTTTCTGTTGCTCTAGTTCCTCTCTGCATGCCGTTCTTGGTCCTGCTTGGTTGGCCCCTGTTGGTCCATATTAGTCCTTGCTGTCTTCGGACTATGCTGGTCCATCTTGGTCTTTGCTGGATAGTGGGCTTTATCAGATACCGGCTCCATTATTTTCAGGTGGCACCAGGTACGTCCATCGAGTCGTCATGCAAGGACCTTATGCCAGCAACTATGCAATGCAATACAGCGTTGACGGCCAGAGCTTCACCTACCACACCAACACGTCGACGTCAAAATCGGTCATTGTGGTAATAATCTAATGTACACGCTCCCATTAACCCTCGTTTTATCAGGGTGCCGTTCCACAAAGCGATCATAACGTTATGACGATCGTAACATACTTTGACTTACGGCAGCCTTAGCGCTAAATTCGCTTTGTGGCACCACCGTCCTGGACCACTCTACTCCACTTTTCGGACGAATATTTTTCTATGGAGATCTACAAATATCATAAGGACAGAATTCCGAGACAATCATACCTTAATCCGGCCCGACTTGACTGGGAACGGTACACTCCAGATTAACGGGGTTTCACTGTTTGAACATTAGAAATATGCAGTCTGTTTTCAGCTACAATTTCGGTCATGTACAAAACGTTATGTGCCCGTTTGGATAACTGTCTTGTCTGTTTCAGTACAATATCTACTTCCGGATCCCAGTTGGGTTCCCATTGGATATTGTAACAAAGGATTGATCCAGAAAAAAAACAGGGACAAAAATGGTTGCCCCCAGATTTAAATAAAAAAATATAACTTGTTCGACGTGACTGTTGGACATGACTGATGTGCTAAAGGTTCCTTCATCTCGGAAGCAAATTGCGTGTTGTGAAGCTGTGACATACAACTATACAACCCCAACCCCAACCCGATTAAATGCTGAGTCCCTTATTCCGTAACCTCCATAAAAACCCCGACAGTGATGAAGTGATTGTATGATATTGCTTCTTTCACTGACGGATCGCTCGGACTATATTCCTGTTATTTGTCATTGCACCCGACTGTTTCAGTCCATCCCAGGAGGAAATGGTCTGGCCGACTACATGCTCCCGGAAGTTATCGAGGCCCGCTTCCTCCGCTTCCAGGCCGTCAGTTTCCAGGTGGGGTTCTATCCCTGTCTCAAGGTGGACATATTCGGCTGTCGTGTTTTCTTTTGAATAATTTGGATATTTCAAATAAATTCTACCTAATTATACGCGGATTGTGTTGATCATTTCTGTTAATTAACTTTCTGATAGTCACCTTTCCCTTTGTGTCGCCTACATCTGTGATAGTCTAGTGTTTTTTACTGTCCTTTGTTGACAGATTTTAATGTCTATATTTATGTATTGTTAATGTACAACTTGATTTAGTCACGATATGGATGACATAATGCCGATGTGACTTTAAATCTTAACTCACTCACTCACTCACTCACTCACTCACTCTTTATGTCGAGCAATATTCAAGCAGCTCCAGCCTTTGGTATCTACATTTCACATCTTTTGAGGTACTACCGAGCATGTGCTATCTACGTAGACAGCCATACGAATCTTTACCCGTTAAGATTCGGGTTAGAACAGGTATTAAGCAGCCCATGCTTGTCGATAGAGGCGACTTCCGGGATCGGGTGGTCAAGCTCGCTGACTTGGTTGATGCATGTCATCGTATGTCAACTGCGTAGATCCATCCATGTCCATGGTGTCAATCACTGTGATATTTGGTCCAGACTCGACCATTTACAGACCGCCGCCATATACGTGTAGCTGGAATATTGCTGAGTGCGGCGTTAAACAACAAAGACCAAACTACTCTTGCTCAAAAGTTGTTTGATCAGGGTTACAGCATTCAAGGCCTTAGTGAAGCTTTTTAAAAAATAGGTCGGCAAACGAAGGACATTTCTTAATGTGACCCATCAGTGATCAAAATAATGTTCAATGCACTATCCCTCTTTTTTATTTGTACCATATGTCCCCGTGTTCACTCACCTTGCCTTTGCATGTGTTTGTGACTGGTGCCACCGGTGGAGCAGGATATGCAGACCTTTTCGCGAATACCTGATACAGTCAAGTCCCGTTTGACTTCCTGTAAGTCATTTCATTGGTCGGTCATAGTTCACGAAAGGTTGTTCTGACGTGACCTGTAATGGGATGTCCTCGGCGATAGCAAGAACCTGTATCTTATTTTAATGAGATTGAGGGAATCTAAGCATGTGATTAATCTTGTTTTCTTTATATAAAGCAATATTGTTTATTGTTAGACAAGTTTATATCTGGAGCCGTTGTAATATGCAGCTACCAGCCGACTCGTCTCGCATCAAAACACGGGCTGTGTACTCGCAGATGACCACGGAGTACGCAGATCACTAGTACTGTGTCGGATTAACAAGACTGATTAATGAGTGATTTCAGCAGTTCGTTGCAAATTAGGTGTGTCGGAGTCGGAGTGCGAGACTGTCCGATTAACGGGTCTAAATAGGACCGATTAAATCGGTTCCCATCAGTGTCGGATTAACGAGTGTCGGATTAAACGAGACTTGACTGTATCAAGATTTAATTTATTGTCATCAAATAAAAGGGATTCGTACAACGGAATCTTATTTCTTATGATTATAAAAATTTCTCTGTGTGTTCAATTCTCCATGACTATTTTATTATGATGTATAAATCAACCCCGGTGTATATCAGGGGATCAAACATATGTCGAATAATGAGAAAATCGATCAGTTACCAATTCCCCTTGCTTGAATGAATTTTTTATTCCGATGAGATACCCCTCTGAGTGAAAATGTGAGGACAATTCTAAGGAGTCAAATTAAAAAGTGGCTGATGTACGCACAGTCCTCGCGATGACACGACTGTGTCAGCCCGGAATCCCAACGGGTCTTATTCGTCTCAAAACACTCGCTCATATCGACCAGAGGTTCTTCGGATTCAATAGCATCACACGTCACTGGTAATAGGAGGGTTCAATACCAGCTTTGTACAGAACAGCTGTATATCAGGGTATGTCAGCTTAACGTCAAGACGTAGCAAATGTTATATTTGGGATAACACTTTCTTAGTAAAGTACAGATTCTAGTACTTTTTGGGGGTTGAGTCCCGTCCGGGATTCGAACCCACACCTGCCAGTGTGAGGCACCTAATCGGCAGCACACAAAGTCAGCGATCTAACCCACTCAGCCACCGAGGCTTCCACAAAAATGAAAGTCCGACAACTGGTAGTCTACATCACGTACTTTGAGTACCCCCGTGACAAGTGTAAATTTCGGCCATGGGAGCCAAAAAAAGTACGAGAATCCGTACTTTACTAAGAAAGTGTTATCTCAAATATAACATATGTTACATTTGACCACTTTCTAAATGGCATTGTGTATTCTTAACGTCAAGACGTCTGCCGATTTGTTGAAACCCACAAACACGCGTATAGTGCTGAAAATCCAACAACGATCATAGGCGCATCCAGAGGAGGGGTTCAGGGGGTCCGGACCCCCCCCCCCCCCCCCTTTTGAAAACCAAATGCAGTATGTTGTTGGCAGTAAACTTGTCTGAGAGAGAGGATTTTGACCCCTCCCTTTTAAAAATGCTGGATCCGCCCTTATTGGCTGTCTCTGCGTTGCGACTCTGGCGTGGCATAATCCTATGTTAGTGGATTCGAGTCCCACCATATATTAACCCTTACCATAATAAGGCCATTCCTGGATTCAAACCCATGAACATTGGACTATGACACGCCAGAGTCGCAACGCAGAGACAGCCAATTTCGGCGTAAATGACTGGGCTACCCGTGAAAGAAAGAAGCAACAAGAACGTCATGGAGCGGTATTATTTGTATGTAGATCTAGTACAGATGACAGCCCAGCAGTTCCACACGCATGGCTGGCAGGAGCGACTTTTTCCAGTCTGTGGGAAGCAGTCTCACGAAGCGGGTCACCAGCGGAGTCGTCCTGCCAAGGTAGCTTGTGATCACTGTAGTCGAGGTAGAGCCCACAAGTTCCTTGAAATAATTAGAACACCCATGTAGTTAAACACCAAACAAACAAATAAACAAACATTATACCCTACGGCGTTGATGGTCGCTCATGCTATCAACCACTGTTTTTCTCTGGTTCTCCGCCCCTTTCCCGGCCCTTTATATTGACAGTTGAACCAAACTTGTGTGTTTGAAGGTTTGTTTTGTTTGTTTGTTGTTTAACGATCCAGCAATTTGGATACGATGGCCACCCGATCCAGTTAGTCGCCTCTAACGAGATGCATGGGTTGCTGAAGAAACCCAGATCATCTCAGGGGGGTCTTTGAAGGGTTCCAGATCACCCTACTGAACAGAAATTTCCAGACACCACTGGGGAACAATGCCGTGGAATCTCGGACAACTGAAATACGACTTGGCAGATATGTTATTGGCCTGTATGCTTTTGGAAATAGTGAGTGAGTATGATTTTATGCCACTTTTAGCAATATTCCAGTAATATCACGGCGGGGGACACCAGAAATGGGCTTCACACATTGTACCCATGTCTGGAATCGAACCCGGGTCTTCGGCGTGACGAGCCAACGCTTTAACCACTAGGCTACCCGACCGCCCCTTTTGGAAATATATTAGGCGTGTCTATTTACATTGTGTCCAGATTCACCCAAAATTACGCAACTGTGGTATGAAATATATAAACACAACATGTTTTTCCGTTGAGTCTTTTACCTATTCTAGAAATTAAAACCCTTCAAAGTCGGCCATATTGACGTAGGAAGGGACGTAACCCTTTTACGATATATCAAAAGTAAGTGAGTGAGTGAGTATTCTTTTACGCCGCCTTTAGCAATATTCCAGCAATCCCACGGCGAGGGACACCGGAAATTGGTTTCACGCATTGTACCGATGTGGGGACTCGAACCCCGGTCTTCGGCGTGACGAGCGAACAACACTTTAACAACTAGGCTACCCCACTTTATATTAAAAACAATTAATCTTTTTGTTTTGTGTTTCAATACCAAGCATATTTCAACTGAAGACACTGACCTCAACGACACCACTGAACGGGTTGGTATAGTTGTGGAAATGCCGGCCGTCCAGGCTATACTGGACTAGGAACATGGAAGTGTAGTAATCGCTGTTCACGCCTTGCATCTGCACGCCGTGGATCAATGTCTGGTTGCCTGGCAACGCAGAAGGGTGTACTGAGAGAACGCTGCTCCCAAAATGGTAATAATTTTATATGACATTGCCTGACTTAGAAGTGGCTAATATTTAGTATGTCATATACACTATCATTATATATATAAGTTTGATATCAATGTTAAAATGGTTTGTTTTTTTGTTCGGTGTACGAAATATTGTTTGAACTAAACAAGAAAATTAAACTTCAAGTCGCTTGTCAACACAGCACGTATTCTGTAAATATTGTAATTGAAACATCTTCCGTTACACTGGTACATATACTCAACGCCAAAAGAAACGTAAACCATAGAAACATATAGCGAAGTATGTACGTTAAGAAGACATGTTTCCAATGTGTAGCCCTTAATGACAAAACCAACAATCAGTCAAGTGTTACCACAGAGTGTCTTTATTCTTATCACGATAAGCGGCAACGAATGGTGCATCTCGAGGCCTGGATCTATGACGTCATATGTGATGCGTTCATCAGCATCGGTTCACAAAACATGACAGTATGTACGTTTGTGCATCGAACCAATGTAATGTGTTTTAATATGATTTTTCATATGAGTATTCTTCACAATTATATTAACCAATTAATATGTATGATATTTGTGTGTGTGACATATACTGCAGCGTTTAGCTCACCTAGATCGATCTGGAGCCAGGAGAGCTCCCCAGTTCCGCGCCATCCCTTCCCCTCGAGCCTCCCGTCGGAAGCGTTATACGTGGAGGAGGTGAGGTACGCCGACATCTGCGCATCATGGACAGCCTTCACACTTTGAGATACTCCCAGTGCATTACCTGTGCAGTCTAAACAAGACAACAAAGACTTAATTAAAGGTCCAACACGAGGTGTCCACGACACAGACCATTAAACATTTGAGTGAGTGAGTGAGTTGGGTTTAACGCCGCTTTTTACAGTATTCCAGTTATATAGCGGCGTGTCAGCTTAATGTGGGAGGGAAGCCCAAAGTGATGCAGGTCTCAGACGTTTACCACTTCGATGAAACCCACGAGCACGGGTATGGTGCTGTCAAACCTAGAAACATAATCGGGCGAACCGGGATTCGAACCCACAATCATAGGTTTCTTGCGTACCCAAGGGACGCAACTCTGCACAGCGAATCGCGTCGCCTCAGACGACTGGGCCACCCGTGCCCCCATTAAACATTTAAAGGAGGTAATGACATCACTGTCATCAAAATAAAAGCTGGGCTTTCTGGGGATAATAACACGTCTATTCATAAAAACCCGTGAAGATCCGGGTTAGAATAGGTCCTCAGCAACCCATGCTTGGCGTAAAAGGCTACGATGCTTGTCGTAAGAGATGACTAACGGGATCGGGTGGTCAGGATCGCTGACTTGGTTGATGCATGTCACCGTATCCAAATTGGATGGATCGATGCTCATGATGCCAATCACTGGATTGTCTGATCCAGACTCAATTATTTACAGACCGCCGTCATACAGCTGGAATATTGCCGATTGCGGCTTTAAACAACGAACAAACAAACAAACAAACAAACACAAAAACCTCCTCCCAGTGAAGTGAAACATACTCAGCTCGCACAATGTCCCGCCATACGGATGAAGACAGTCACATCGGAGTATTCCGTGATTTTCTTCGCAGGTGCCCTCATGTTGACACGGGCTGTTCATGCAGACATGGGAATCTGGAAGTAAGTGAGTGAGTGAGCTGGGTTTAACGCCGCTTTTAACAGTATTCCAGTTATATCACGGCGTGTCAGCTTAATGTGGGAGGAAAGCCCGAAGTGATGCAGGTCTCAGACGTTTACCACTTCGGTGAAACCCACGAGCACGGGTATGGTGCTGACAAACCTAGAAACATAATTGGGGCGAACCGGGATTCGAACCCACAATCATAGGTTTCTAGCGTGCCCAAAGGACGCAACTCTGCACAGCGAATCGCGGCGCCTTAGACGACTGGGCCACCCGTGCCCCCGACGGGAAGTAAGAAGTATGTCACACAATTCGATTATAATGTAAATTTAGAACAGGCATAAAACACATGTACCCTCCACTCTAAATAGGATAGCAAGCAGTAAAATATATTTGTGAACGAGTAGGTAACACTTTGGCAATCTTGAAATCGGGAAACATGAACCAAAGGGACATTACTCTTGACAGCAAATTTGAAGATTGCGTCTGCGAAGGCGCCCAGGGCGTTAGTCGCACGGACGGTAACAACGTAGGTGGCGTCAAGGTCGGGGGCCACCCCCTTCAGTTCACCAGTGAGGGGGTCCAGACTTATCCCCACGGGGAGGTCCCCAGCTACCACGGTGTACGTCATGGCACGGCCCTCAGAGTCCTGCAAAGGGCCACAAATGTTATTGTAGAGATCCAATTAAACACCACAGCTTCATGAATAGAGTTAATAGATCCACGAATTCCATAGCCTTACAAAATTCGATCAAACAAATAGTATGGCTGTCTTACACTACCATATCTTCCTCTATATTGCAGGGGGCGGTCGGGTAGCCTAGTGGTTAACGCGTTCGCTCGTCTCGCCGAAGACCCGGGTTCGATTCCCGACATGGGTACAATGTGTAAAGCCCATTACTGGTGTCTCCCGCCGTGACATTTCTCGAATATTGTTTAAAGCGGCGTAAAACCTTACTCACTCACTCTATATTGCAGGATAAAGTGCCAATGAAAGAAGTTCAAGAACAGAGCACACGTACACCCACGTTTAATAGTGGCTAAAATGAAACAAGCAAGAAACGGTTATTGATGGTGATGTACTTGATACTGTTGTGTTTGGACCTTAAGCTTGCAGTGTTCCGGCAACTGTTTTCAGCCAAGTAACGTTTTGATGACGTTTGAATCTTTTGGGTCAAATCAAATTTTCAAGTGTATACTTTCTTTGGCTTTGCAGTTTTACAATGCGGTCTATTTCTAATTCCCCTCAGGTTTTAACTAAAGTAAAGAGAAATTGTTCGGCACCCACTTTTACAGGTTAATAAATGCTGTTTTGAAGCAATGCCCGACATGAGTATATTGCTGGAATAATGCTGAAAGCGGCGAAAAACCACACCTGCTCACTACTAGAAACCATATATGAAGAAAATTTGCATCAGGATATCTTCCGAAAACCGTCAGTAACCTTGAAATTTCTGGGTAATTTTCAGGTATGTTTTATGCGTTTCACACTTAAATGAACAAAAGGCACCCCAACAATTTTGACAATTTTGGGGTAAAGTTTCCGGAAGGTATTCGGCCGGATTTAAAGTGGGAAGATTACCTGAAAACGGAAACCTGACCTTTCGCTGACCATACTCACTTTATTGTGTTGAGGTTGTGGATCATAATGGCAAAACTAAACAGTACACGTAAAAGTGACCCTACCTTAGCGTGGATGAAGACAGATATTTTCTGAAGTCCCAAGAAGGCCCCAACGTAGCCATATGTCCCATAATCGTCCCAAATAGGTGGGGTGGCGTTCACCAGCTGAATGAGAAAGAATAAAATTGAAGTAAGACCGAAGGTTGATTTGTATAATGAACAACGTAAAGAGCTTTCATACATCCATACGGATATGGAGGGCACGTCTGAGGCACCGCAATTCAAGTTGCTGTGCAGAGTTACGTCCCTTGGGCACGCCAGGAACCTATGATTGTGGGTTCGAATCCCAGTTTGCCCCGATAATATTTCTTGTTTTTTTCAGCAGCATACCCGTGCTCGTGGGTTTCATCAAAATGGTAACGGTCTGAGACCTGCATCCCTTTAGCTGACACATTTTGCTGACACATTTAGCACATTTAGCACATTTAGCTGACACGCCGTGATATAACTGGAATACTCACTCACCGTTATAGATAGGTTGATTATGTTATTTAAACGACAATTCTTTATTTCGAAGGAATACGGTTGGCCCAGTCTTCCGCAAGTCGCTGTGCAGTTCGATTCCCTGATGGGAACAATGTGTGAAGCCCATTTCTGGTGTACCCCGCAGGGATATTGCTGGAATATTGCAAATAGAGACGTGAAACCGTACTCACTCACTCACTCACTCACTCACTCACTCACTCACTCACCCTGATTATGTTGATGAGGTCGACGTCCTTGTAGTAGAGGGAGTGGTCGGAAGAAGTGTTTATCGACACGTTGCCGGGCATCAGAGCCTGATACAAAATAGAATACGTCATGATAGTGCAAGGTTATTTTGGAGGTCAGATTTGAATTCATTTTTGTACTTCTGTCTCCAACCCAAAGTGCCACTCCAAAATGTGAGCTCGTTACCTTTGCTTCCAAACTACATCCATTTACTTGACCTTACTTTACCACCGTGGGGATCCAGGGTTAGAATTGATCCCATCCAAACTTGCTTGTGGTACGAGGAGACATAACAGTCGGGGTGGTCATGCTCGGTGACTTGGTTGATTGTGTGTGAATAGCATAAACAGTAATAAATATATAAACGTCGGGGCACATCTGAAATGCTCTTCATGCATTGTACCCAAATGGAGTATCGAACACGGGCCTTCGGCGTGCTTAGCGAACGCTTTAACCACTAGCCTACCCCGACGATCAAATATCAAAGGATAATATAATAATAAGACAGAACCAAGTCAATAATGGACGTGTTTTTGAATTGTGAAACAAAATTACAATTTGCCATCCATACCTCAAACGTCACGCTTCCGTTGTATCCTGAGACGAATTCCATACTCGGATGGCGATCTACGATAGGCGAAAACCTACAATGTTTAAATGAGTTTTATTTCTACGAAAAAACCCGTTATTCTTCGTCAAACAAATCAACATTCACAGCTCGTGCAAACCAATACGTTATCGTATAACTGTTCTTATTTGACGAAACCGATTTCGAAAAAAATACAACAACAGGCTTGTCTACACAGGGACGATTGGTCTGGTATGTTTTCAAAACAGTAAGTCATGGAGTTTGGCTTACGTCGGTTAAAATGTAATGTTGAGAAAGCTTGATGTCTTAAATGCCACGTTGGTAAAGCTTGTATAAGGCACTGACCAACCACGTATCATAATTGAGGCTATAGGATTCGAACCTACAATCAGTTGATCCTGATAGCTAAGGGACGTAACCCTACACAGTGAACAGCGACGCGTTAGTGAGCACGAGGTTACTGGAGGCGCGGACCACAATAATTAGTTATTTAGGTCCGTGCTGGAGATGCATAATTTGTAAATTACAAATACCAAATATATTAAATGAATATTATAACTTACTGGCTCGCTCCATTGACAGAAAGAATAACTGCAGCCAGAAAACATGTGGAATACCATATCGCCGCCATTTTGAAATGCCCCGTGAACAAATTGAAATGACAGTAATATTCTTGAGATAATTCTTCTTCTAGGTCATTTAAACGTTAGTCTCATGCCCTCACCATCTTTGCCAGATATCAATCACTCTTTCGTATCTTAGCAAGGTGGATACGCATAAACAATTATCATTTTGAACTTAACACGAAACCGATTTGTTAGCCCATGATACGAACGTCTGGCAGATAAGTCTGCCGGAACTACTTTTTGGGGTCGTAGTTTATCACGAGTCGTCTGCAGTGTAGTTTTTTCAGATGAGAATTTTTGTGTTTCTGAGACGTGCGTGAAATGTCATTAAACCTTCCCAACATTGATCAGAAAAAAATGTGCCGCGACACAAGTGCCCGGATTTATCATCACATCCGTTCCGTTTCTCAAAACTTGGAACTTGAAAATATTACGCTCGTGTTACAATCATGGCGTCTTTAATGTTGTTTGTGGCTGTCCTCTGCAAAGTGCTTCGTATCGCTGGTACTGCGTGAGTCATTATGTTATTATTTCCAGCTGAAACAAATCAACAACTGACATTATAAATGAATAATAACTATTAATGTAAAACAAAAATACATGTGCATAAAAATGTTAATTCTACGGAAGCCTTTTAGGCCATTTGTTTTTTCTTTCTTGTAATTTCTTGATACTAACTTGAAATTTCAAGATGTTATGTTGAAATTCCAAGATATATATTAAGTTTCAAGATTATGATTAAGTTTCAAGATTATGATTAAGTTTCAAGATAATAAGTTGAAATTTCAAGATACATAAGTTGAAATTTCAAGATACATAAGTTGAAATTTCAAGATACATAAGTTGAAATTTGAAGGTGCTATGTTGAAATTTGAAGATATACATAAGCCGAAATTTCAAGATAATAATTTGAAATTTCAAGATACTAAGATGAAATTTCAAGATGCTAAGAAAGAAAACCAAATGGCCCTAAAAGGCTTCTGTATAATTCCAATATTTGATTTAAACTCGTTCTATACCGTAACGTTTGACGGATTTTAGCGTTTTAACAATAACTATCATGCCAAGTCGATCATGTGTCTGCAACAGAGTCTCCGCTGTGATTGTTTATTATCCCCCCGGCATATAATGCGGAGGGGATATAGCGATCAGCCAGTCTGTCTCTCCGTCTGTCCGTCCGTAATCATTTCCTTTTCCGGGGCAGAACTCGAAAATAATTCAGTGTTTTTGATCGAAACTTTGCAAATCTATCAGTCACATACTGAAGTTGTGCCTTTTGTTATTTAGGAATTTTAGAAATTTTTATTTTTGACGTTTCCATTGCAACAAGTTGGACTTAGGTTCTATAAGGCTGGTGTTCATTTCCGGAGCGTAACTCAAAAACCGTTAAATACTTTCTTACAAAACTTTGCATGTCTACCAGGTACATACTGAACTGGTGCCTTTTGCTATTTGGGAATTTTATAAATTTAGATGACTTCATTGACTATACGCTTGTTTAGTTATTGTTTCTTGTAATTTGTCATTTGTTTGCATAAAAAAACCCACAGAAACACACTTGTTTTACTTTCCATTTCATATGGATGCGACCATGATGGATCTGTTATGTATAAACAATGTATGCTTCTTCAAGAACATCCAACTCTTGACTCATTACATACAGAATTGCACATTTACTTGTGGTTACTTTACTTTTCTGATGACTCTTGTGTGTTGTGGAGTTTGTGGTTCTAGGCACGCCAAAAACATGGGTTCGATTTCCCAGATGGGGTTCCTTGCCATGACTTCATAATCCCAAATGTCTCACGGATTTAAACCTCACACACCCTACTCGCCTCGAACAGGCAGGTGCGATGGGGTGCCTGGCGGTGGAAATATTGGAGCGTAGCGGACCCGGCTTCCCAAATGAGTAGTATATGTAATGTCCGCCGTGATCTATAATTCTTTTCTAGAACTTTCAAGACTAAAATGGACAATTGCATATATCGTGGTATTTACTATTAACTACACCTGAATCCACCAACACCGTACATAGCACTCCTTAATGGAGTTTTTTTTTAAATATATCCGCTAAATCCAAAAGCCGCCTTGCAAGTATACAAAAGGTTTCCCCTTTACATCTTCCCGAGGCAAGGGAGATAACTGACTGTAAAAGTCCAGTTTCCACCCTTGACGCACTAATCTGAAATTTCTGGGCTCGATCGTAGCACCGCCAGTGGACCAATCAGATTGCACCTCCCACATTGCTTACATTTGTTTCAAACAAAATGGCGGCGCCCACTCACGACGATCTGATTGATACTCAAAATCTATATTGTCTTACTTCGCGAAGTGCATCAAATCACGTGAGTACCTTGATTAAAAACACGAAAAGATTTGGAAAATATCTGGCGATACACATCCTTTGCAAATCCTGCAGTCGACGGCAGTTTACGAACCGGATGTCGATTCCGTTAAGCAATTTTGATTGGACTATGCATAGACTCGTTAGTCCAGCCAAAATGTAACTCCATAATTGCAGCCTGGTTCGGCAAGGGTGGAAACTGGACTTTTTATAGTCAGTTATCTCCCTTGTCTCAGGAAGATGCCCCTTTGGTGTTCACTGCGTTATAGACGACCTTCTGCCATTTCTACCTTCGATATTCGGCCATAGAGAACTGTGTATTGTTGTACAAAACAACCTCAGCGCTACGTCTGTCGCAAGTTATGTTAAGGTATGGGAGTTACGATCATCTTAGCGCTAAGAATGCTTTATACTACGGCACCCTGCAGAAAGATGTAATCTTAGCCGATCTCACTGTGAAACTGCTGATTTCTTTCAGTTTCTTTGAGGTCCAGTACCCCAGTGTCGTTCTGTCCGCAGAAATTGGAGGAAATGTCACCATCAGAGTAAGTGGTTATATTTTTACCCTATTTTTATTCTGTACTTATCACCAAAACAGTATTGCATTATCACAAATAAGTTTAAACAGGCCGTTTCCTGAGGTTGTCCTTTAAGAGTTATCAGCGATAGCCAAACTATGGATATGGGAGAATAACACGAGGCAGAAAATTACTGCAGTTGTCTGATAAGCCCAGACCGACATTAATCATTTGATACAAGGGACGGTGGGGTAGCCTAGTAGTTATAGTGTTCGCACGTCACGCCGAAGACCCGGGTTCGATTTCCCACATGGGTACAATGCGTTGAGCCCATTTCTGGTGTTTCCGCCGTGATATTGCTGGAATATTGCTAAAAGCGGCGTAAAACCACACCTGCTCACTACTAGAGACCATATATGAAGAAAATTTGCATCAGGATACCTTCCGAAAACCGTCAGCGACCTTGAAATGTCTGGGTAATTTTCAGATATGTTTTATGTGTTTCACACTTGGGAGATAAAGAATATACAGTAAACAGCCTTGTTTTCAAAATGTTTTATGTATATATATATATACTACACGTGTTGAATAGGATTCGCAGTTTGTGCAAGTGTTTAATTGTTTTCGCAGTCTTGAGTTTTCTCACACATAGGCTGGGCCCGACAGCGGCAGCATCTTCCTCAAGTCGTCCACAAGTGGCAGCATCTACATCGACGGCACCGACATGATGGCCATTATTGAAGTAGGTCGCACGTCATCACGAACGTCAATATTTGTGTACTTTGAATTGCCCTATGAGTAAGCAAAAGCTGACGCCAGCTGAGCTGCTACATAGATGGTCAGCTTATTATATATAATATTCAAAATATAGTCACAAACTCTTCCAGTACAATTCAAAGAATGCCAGAAGGACGTCAGTGGGATGCCATAAAATACATAGATATGGACAGCGAACGTTAATCCCGTAATCCATTGACCCAGTGAAATCGTCTGGATAACCCGGTTGCCATAGCAGAAATGGGGAGGTGCGCACAGATGACAACCAACGCCTAGCTGTGGTGTTACTTATTGCTTGTGCGCATACCCTAGTATAGGTGATTGCACCTGGGAGACTATATAGATTTCGCCTGCGTTCAATGTGCCAGAAACCTATGATCGTGGGTTCGAATCCTGAATTCGACCTGAATATGTTTCTTGGTTTGTCCGTACCATGCCCGTGACCCGTGACGATCCAGGGTAGAATAGGTCTTCAGCAACCCATGCTTGCTGTAAATGGCGACTATGCTTGTCGTAAGAGGCGAGTAACGGGATCGGGTGGTCAGGCTCGCTGACTTGGTTGATGCATGTCATCGATCCCAATTGCGTGGATCGATGCTCATGATGTCAATCACTGGATTGTCTGGTCCAGACTTGATTATTTACAGACCGCCGTCATATAGCTGGAATATTGCTGAGTGCGGCGTTAAACAAAAAAAAAAAAAAAAAAAAAAAACATGCCCGTGCTCGTAGGTTTCATCAAAGCGGTGAACGTCTACGGCCTGCATCACTTCGGGCTTTCCTCCTCCAAAAGCAGCGTTAAACCACACTCACTCACTCACTCCAGATGCTGAACAGCCTCCCGCCCATCTGGAGCGACATGTCGGAACACGGGTCACTCGGGACCTTCCTGGGGGGAACTACCATCTCCGTCAAAGTCACCGCACAGGTTGTTGAAGTCACCGCTGGAGAATATTAAACCACTTTCAGTTTAAACATTTGTTATTCACATGACAATAGCTATGCAAAAGAATGTGTCACACGAAGCTCGCCTTTTTCAAGAAATGTACACGTATACTTATCAACATTTATAAACAATAAATAACATAAAGGAAAGCAGATGATATAGCAACGTATAAACATTGCACGGTATGAAGGCTCAATCAAACCCTTTGCTGTTTACACCGCATCCGTGGTCTAGAGGTAGAGCGTCCGCCCGAAGAGCGGAAGGTCCGGGGTTCGATACCCGGCCGCGTCATACCTAAAGACGTGAAAAGATGGTACTTGTTGCAACCTTGCCCGGCGCTCGGCATCAAGGGGCTAAAACAAGGACTGGTCGGCTCGGATTCAGTATACTGTGTCTGAGTGGGGTATTCATGTTGAACTGCGGCATGGTATCTCAGTGGGCTAGCACTATAAATCGGCATCAGTCCGGACTAGTACAAGCAGCAACACACACACGTGCATGAACGTCGCTATATAAGTGCAATAATTTTGAACGCGACGTTAAACCCAATTCCACCTCACCTTTTGATGTTTATTTGTGTATGTACACATTTGATAATTGAAAGAAAAGTTGTCCATACGACGTCATTGATAAGGGGAATTTCTTTTTACAAACTAGGGGGCACGGGTGGCCCAGTCGTCTAAGGCGCCGCGATTCGCTGTGCAGAGTTGCGTCCCTTGGGCACGCCAGAAACCTATGATTATGGGTTCGAATCCCGGTTCGCCCCGATTATGTTTCTAGGTTTGTCAGCACCATACCCGTGCTCGTGGGTTTCACCGAAGTGGTAAACGTGTGAGACCTGCATCACTTCGGGCTTTCCTCCCACATTAAGCTGACACGCCGTGATATAACTGGAATACTGTTAAAAGTGGCGTTAAACCCAACTCACTCACTCACTCACTTTTTACGAACTAACTTCAAGTCAATAGTATGTTGCCGCTGATTTGTACTAAAGCAAAGTAGGAAGTGTTGAAATATAGATAGATCAGTGTAGATTTTGGAGGTCTAATAATCAAACTTTTATCTTAAGGATCCAGAAGGAAATACTATCCATTATGACAAAGTATCCGGGGCATTTCCTCCAGGGGTAGTGCTGAACAAGGACACCGGTGACATCTCTGGAGTCATACCTGATATAGATGCTGTGTATGAATTCGGCATTCGGGCGACAGATAATCACGGGAAGCACGCCGATCAGACGTTCACCATCCTCACACGCGGTAAGGAGCTTCCGCTATTGTCAAACGTGCAAAGGTGCGTCCGCTTGATACACATTAAAGTCTTGTCAAACGCTGTAAGGAGCCTCCACTTGATACACGCATGTCAGGCGCGGTAAGGAACTTCCACTTGATACAACCTTGTAAAAGCTGTAAGGAGCTTCTACTTGATACACCCTTGTCAAACGTGGTAATGAACTTTCAATTGATACACCCTTGTCAAGCGCGGTAAGGAGCTTCCACTTGATACACCCTTGTCAAACGTGGTAAAGAGCTTCCACTTGATACACCCTTGTCAAAGCTGTAAAGAGCTTCCACTTGATACACCCTTGTCAAGCGCTGTAAGGAGCTTCTACTTGATACACCCTTGTCAAACGTGGTAAAGGGAGTCCACTTGATACACCCTTATCAAGCGCGGTAAGGAGTTTCCACTTGATACCCCCTTGTCAAACGTGGTAGAGAGCTTCCACTTGACACACCCTTGTCAAACGTTGTGGAGAGCTTCCACTTGATACACCCTTGTCAAACGTAGTAAGGAGCTTCCACATGATACATATCCACGACACTAATTCAGATTCAGAAACAAGCCTAATATGTATAAAAATTTATATTGATTCTAATTACGGTTCCACAACAAATACTAGTACTCTGTTTGTGTTTTGATGTTGCCCAATGGGCGGAGGGTTTCTCTCGGCCTGTTCTCGGCACACTGCTGTCACTTGATTTACATTACTCTGTCGTAAGTTGAAACATTATCTTTGAACACTGCATCATCTTTCTCGTGGTAGGTACCAACATTGATTTCTTATCTCTTGCAGAGAAAAACCAGTGTCGTGCTATTCCTTGTAAGAATGGAGGTTCCTGCATTGACGACATCTCCGCCTACTCCTGCAACTGCCCCAAGGCCTACGGGGGCAAGGATTGTCTGTTGGGTAGGTGTGGAACTACAACTACTACTACTACTACTACTACTACTACTACTTCTCCTTTTTCAACCACTACTACCATTTTTAAATCTCAGAAATGTTATTTATCCATCAGACTGTGTGAACAACGCCGTGGGTGTAGACAGCGGCCTCATGCACATCCCCGACGCCCAGATGTCCGCCCACTACTCCCACGCCGACTATGCCGCTTGGAACGGCCGTCTCCACGGCACTGGCTGGGTTGGAGAGCAAGTATTCAACTCGTGGCTGCAGGTACTACGTTGTTAACCGATATCCAAATATACCGATATATTGTTTGCTCGATGAACATGTATGTCAGCTTACCGATATATTGATTGCTGATAAACTGATATGTCGATATACTGATTGCTCAATAAACCGGTATGTCAACTTACCGATATATTGATTGCTGATAAATGGATATGTCGATATACGGATATATTGATTGCTCGATAAACCGATGTCAATATACCGATATATTGATTGCTCGATAAACCGGTTTGTCAACATACCGATATATTGATTGCTGATAAACTGATATGTCGATATACGGATATATTGATTGCTCGATAAACCGATGTCAATATACCGATATATTGATTGCTCGATAAACCGGTTTGTCAACATACCGATATATTGATTGCTGATAAACTGATATGTCGATATACCGATATATTGATTGCTCGATAATCCGATATGTTGATTACATCATCCGTTTCATTGGGTTATGTAACCACTTATTCCGCACAGCACTTTGGTTCTCCTCTAAATATTCGGTTCATCCTCAAAAGGGACATAACATTTCTGATATTTCACAGATTGACCTTGGCTCTGTGATGAGGTGGTTTGCCGTGACGATGCAGGGGGCTGTCAGCTCATCCTTCTACACCACCACATACACCATGACATACAGCGAGGACGGCGACAACTTCCAAACTGTCAAGGATGCCGCCCTTAACACTCTGGTGGGAACATGCGCTACAAGTCAAAAAATATGTTACACTGGCTATGCATTTCTGCAATACTGCTGAAAGTGTCGAATACATTACTGCATATTTTGCTGCAAATTCTGAATGTATCTCTGCATTACTGCAATACCGCTAAAAGCAGCGAATGCCTCAAACACGAAGTAACGTGTTTCTCAACACTCAAAATGGACTCTGCAGCTGTATTGAATTTGAAAAAGTCGTTTATGTTAAAACACACACACACACACACACACACACACACACACACACACTATAACACTATAACACTGTAATAAAGTTGGTTCTACTTCCAGATATTCAACGGCAGTACTCTGTACGACATAGCGACGAAGACCGTCCTCCCAGTGCCTCTGCAGGCTCGCTATGTCCGCTTCATCCCGCAAACTTCTGCCACGAATCCTGGCATGAGAGTTGAGGTGTTCGCCTGCCCACAGTAACGCCGTGTTGGAGATGTGCAGATCTATGAGGACGATCAATCACTTGAATTTAGAAGATGGAAGATTGTAGTGTAGTCACACATATGAAGATAAATCGTATCAGTGACTAATTTAAAACGGGGCTGAACATTGGCCAAAGTTTTACCAGGCTTAAAAGGAAACTGTTAATCGGGCATTGGCGCGTCACTTTCAATCCTGTGTGTCAGTCATTTTAAATGCCAATAAAAAATATGTCATTATTTTCGTCATTGTTATCCATAAAATGATGCGCCCAGTTGTTTGTTGGTATTCTTGCTGTCAAAACACATAAAGCCTTCCTCCTTCATTAGTTGTTTTCAATAATAAAAAAAGAAAAGACCTTCCTCCCTTTTCACCTTTGGGAAAATGTGCCAATCAGGTGAATTATGTTCCTTACTCATGGCATAGCTGAATTATTGCTTACTATGACAGACCCGTGAAGATCCGGAGTAAAATAGGTCTTCAGCAACCCATGCTTGCCGTCAAAGGCGACTATGCTAGTCGTAAGAGGCGACTAACAGAATCGGGTGGTGGGGCTCGCTGATTGGTTGATGCATGTCATCGTATCTCAATTGCGTGGATCGATGCTCATGATGTCAATCACTGGATTGTCTGGTCCAGACTTGATTATTATTTACAGACTGCTGTTATATAGCTGGAATATTGCCGAGTGAGGCGTTAAACAACAAACAAACAAACAAAGCTTATTCTGGCGTCATACAACATTCGTTATAGTGATACATCGGGTTGTTTCCATTCTCCATTAATTATCATTCACAACCTTTTTAACCAGAAATAACACTCAAGTTGGCAACCTTTTAACGGTGACACAGGAAGTACAGGTAACTGAATTGCACAGTGCACGGTGACGAGGAACTGGTATTATGACGATCACCATAAGTGGATGTTACATTTGTTTTGAGTATCGTTCAACTGTAACATGTAAAATCTTTCACCAAAAATGGTGGTGGGTGTTCAGTGGAGTCGGTAGAGAGTGTGTGTGTTCGGTTCAATGCCGCTTTGAAGATTATTTCAGTTATATCACTGCGTCTTCGGAAGAGACGTTGGGAAATCGAGACATAAGTTAAACTGAAGTTCAATTCCCACTATCGGTGAAACACTTGCAGTCGGTTTTGGAGTTGGTCCTATCTGCTCGGGGTCAGTATACTGTGTCTGAGTGGGGTATTCATGTTAAACTGCGGCATGGTATCTCAGTGAGCTAGCACTACAAATCGGCATCAGTCCGGACTAGTACAAGCAGCCACACAAACACACACACGTACATGCACGTTGCTATATAAGTGCAATAATCTTGGACGCGACATTAAACTCCATTTCACCTCACCTCTGAGGTAAGTAATGCTGGAGACACTCAAATAGAAGCATCAACACAACCCTCGTTACAATTTCAATATTTATTACAAGTATAAAATGTTCAGAAAAGTTCCCAGTGAAAGCCTGCTTTCACAGTCACAACCACATACACCATCATAACAACACATGAAAAATATTGCATACAATTAAAATAGTAATTAAAACAAATACTTGCAAATTTGTGGACGGATTTAGTTTTTCTTTAGTATTAGCATTTTACAAAATTCAAGTTATGATAAACATGATAAAAACCCTTTTGCCCTGAAAACATAACCATATGCATTTACAGTACAAAGAGATAAGATGATGTACAAAGTCATGAAGTATCAAAGGGAGATAAGGTAATCAACAATTAACTGCATCAGTGCATAATAAGATCCGAGTAGTGAGTGAGTTTGGTTTTACGCCGCTATTGCAATATTGCAGCAATATCAGGGCAGGGACACCAGAAATGGGCTTCGTACATTGTACCCATGTGGGGACTCGAACCCAGGTCTTCGGCGTGGTGACCAAACGCTTTAACCACTAGGCTACCCCACCGCCCCTAAAGTCTGAGTAAAGCAACAAAATGGTTGAAATACCTTTATTCAATCCTTGGACTGCCTATTTTACCTAGAGTTCCTTTAACTGTTATCACCCCGTGATTTCCTGCATTTCTTTAAATAGTTATGGGTATAGAAGGAATTCAAAATTACCACCACACCAAAAAGCAAATGTCTTATCTCAGGCCTAATGAGATGTAGAATCTTTGCTTACATACTACATGTATAATCTCTCAAGAATTTCCAGAATTGAACATTTCAGTTAATAGTCGTAAACTGAAAAGCTGACCCCGATACCCAACAAATTCCACAAATATTTTACATATTATATTTATATGTTGAGGCTGTCCTGAACATCACAGACATGGGGACAGAGATCAAGGGGAATGACGGCTCCTGTGTTTGCACATGTACAGTAGCTATTCTCAAGGCTGATTGGAGGGCTTATATGATGTAACTATGACCAACTGAAAAGAACACAACAGTGTGATGTCATCAAGTATTTATGACATCACAAACTGATGACATCACAAACTGATGACATGCTGTAAAACTGAACAATAGGCTGACTTCAGTGAAGGTTCTCTGTAAACAATGCATAATTGTTTCTTCCCTTTCCTTATAAGAAGGGACTGGTCATTTATTAGAGGGGGGTTGTTCTTAGCAATGTATCATACTGCTGACCACCCCCACCCCCTACTGTAACCTTCTTTGATGATGATTTAATTAAACGTTTTTATTTGAAAAAAAAGAAATGAGTAAGCTCTGCATGACCTCATATTTTCATATTTACAGATTATCTGTCCCTCATGAATGAATGCTGTAAATCTATTGCCATGGACTCGAGATTTACATTTTTCACCCAGGACAGCAGGGCTAGACACTGCCACTAGTCCGTTATCTTGCAGGGCTAGTTATTTTCTCACAAAATCTAGTTAATTTACATAAACCACTAGTTCAAAATGAGCTGCGGACTAGTCGTGTATGCCCAAAGGTGTCTACCCTGGACAGATAGCCTAGTGTACCTTGTTGGTTATTCTCTACATATGATTGTATATTAAAACATACATTCACCTGATGAAGGAGTAAGTATATACTCCAAAACAATGTGTTCCCCATAGTAGAGAAGTTGACATCCATAAATTCTTTTCCTAACCCTAACCCTAACCCGTGAAGATCCGGGGTAGAATAGGTCTTCAGCAACCCATGCTTGCCGTAAAAGGCGACTATGCTTGTCGTAAGAGGCAACTAATGGGATTGGGTGGTCAGGCTCGCTGACTTGGTTTGATGCATGTCATCGATCTCAATTGCATGGATCGATGCTCATGATATCGATCACTGGATTGTCCGGTCCAGACTCGATTATTTGCAGACCGCCGTCATATAGCTGGAATATTGCTGAGTGTGGCGTTTAACAACAACCCAACCAACCAACCTTATGTGTATCACTTCTAAATGCTTATCAAAGACTTAAATTAAAGCTGCCAATGTCTGTATTCCAAGAAACAGATAGCCTGTAGGTGACAGTTTCAGTTATGGCCCATTATCATGAGGAACGACAGGTAGTATGTTCCTCAGCAAGGTGATGCTTTGTTCATTAAAACATCCACTGATGGTAACCTTTAGTATGCACAAGACTGTAAGTTGAACAAGTCTTACTGTTTCATACAATAGCTAATGACCATCTTGCCTTATGCCAGTTGTGTGACTTTACCTTGTTCTCCCCTTTGTCAAATCATTTCATGAATATAAACATGTATATCTAGAATGTATAAATATAAATAAAAATAATCATTTTGAATTATGAATCGTTGTGTTATGAAATGACAAAAAAGTGTCTATAAAAGCAAGACAAGCTAAATAAAAAAAAATGCTAAAACATATGAAAATAAAAATTGGATATTAATGATACAGTAACAAATATTTGGATACAAAACATGTAATTGAGGTCGCTAAAATATACGCCTTTGATTCTTGGTAAATGCATAAATTAGTCAAAACACCACATGTAAAGAGTACATATACACAACTAATTATGACTTCAATGTCACACTGTAAAAACTGAAAGTAACAGCAATTGTCACGATCCTTAACCATCGAAGTTGCAAGGGTGATTTTTTTTCTTTGGTGTAAATTTCAACAAGAAAAATGATAATACTTTGATTGTGTTAATGCTGACATGATATTGCCAAGGTTACGTTTGAAGCATGATTGATCTGTTAGTGCAGGATAAGCTGGTGAAGCAAGTGTATGAATAAAACACATAGATAAAAGCTTCACATAACACGATCCTTATTCATGCAGTATTTCTTCATCAATGTTTCTTTACAAAAATGTCTGCACTGAGCAGGCTGAGACATTACTATTGTAAACATATTTCATGCACTGTTTCTTCCTACAGACATGGACACTGACTGGTAATGCCTGTTACCCCTTATATCACAGATACAACTGGAAATGTAATTGTACTTATAGTCAGTGTATAGAAATGAGCATTCCTGAATAAATGCAATGTTTTTATACTTATCTGATGCTACATACAGGGATAAGAATGTATATTCACACATCTTTTGACATCTTTGCAACGGAGCGTGGTCCTTAATCTGGGTCTGTTTATGGGGAAAGCCATCAGATTTTGAAAAAAATTGTGGTCACTGAAATTCTTGGAAGATTCTCATCCCGGTACATAGTGCTTTAGCTTCCCTACCTTTTACAAACAGACTGTACTGGAACAGAGAGACAGTTGAAACAGACTACAGTCCTTGCCTAGAAACCCACGAGTTATGAAAATGAACATAATTAATATCAAAAGGACCTGGTACCTTCATCAAAAACAAAAGTCAACATCTGCAATTTCTAATGCTACTGAAGTTTTGATTTGAATAATGCTGGATCTGCCAAAAAGCAAAGACGAAGATGCAACTTCACCAGATAAATGCTGTTTTCGCTCTCGTGACCATATTGTTGACATTCTGACAACACTCAGAGGCCAGACTCTGGTAGTGCTGCAACACGGCTCGATTCTCCTCCACCTTGGCTGACCGGGACTTCAGCTCCTCGCGGATGCCGGAAGTGGGGGCTCCAGGCTCGACTGGCTCCTCGTAGCTGGCTACAATTACTGCCACCTTCTGGTCAACTCGCTCCAAGCGCTCAGCCAAGGGAGGGAACTCCTTCAGGATGGCTGCACCAGAGGCAGCATACTGTAACAGAAACATGCAGCTAAGGCTGAAGTACAGCATACAAAACACATGACATGACGGTTTAGAGTCATAAAACCCTAGTCCTGGCTCTCACACACATCTCTCATGAATTAATACATCCCATTACATTGGCTCATCCAAGCCCACCTCCCTTACCATACCAGCTCAAGCATTTCAAACCTGACTAATTCTTTAACATCCCAACCCTTGCACATCAAACCCCGACCCATGAAAATCCGGATTAGAATGGGCTTTCAGCAACCCATGCTTGTCTCAAGAGGCAACTGAAGGGATAGGGTGGACAGGTTCGCAAACTTGGTTGATGCATGTCATAATATCACATTTGCGTAGATTGATGCTCATCATGCTCATGATGTCAGTCACTGGATTCTCTGATACAGACTTGATTATTTACAGACTACCGTCATATAGCTGAAATATTGCTGAGTGTGGCGTTAAACAACAAACAAACAAACAAACATCAAACCCCATCCTTTTATAACTCCAACCTTTCCTACATATCCCAACCATAGCACTTCTCCTACCATCCAACCCTTCCAATCCAATACTACACCACCATATCCCACCCAATCCAACTCAAAAACTACGCCATCCCACCTCATCAACTCTACACCACCCCATCCCACCCTTCCAATCCAACTCTACACCACCCCATCCAACCCTATTCCAATCCAACTCTACACTACCCCATCCCACCCCATCAAGACCTTCCCATTCAATTCTACACTACCCAATCCCACCCCATCCAACTCTACACCACCCCCATCCCGACCCATCCAACCCTTCCAATCCAACTCTACGCCACCCCATCCCATCCAACTCTACACTAACCCATCCCATCGAACCCCTCCAATCCAACTCTACGCCACCCCATCCCATCCAACTCTACGCCACCCCATCCCATCGAACCCATCCCATCCAACTCTTCCAAACCAACTCTACGCCAACCCTTCCCATCCAACTCTACGCCAACCCATTCCATCCAACTCTACACACCCCATCCAGACCTTCCAATCCAACTCTAAACACCCAAATCCAGACCTTCCAATCCAACTCTAAACACCCCATCCAGACCTTCCAATCCAACTCTAAACACCCCATCCAGACCTTCCAATCCAACTCTACGCCACCCCATCCCATCCAACTCTACACTAACCCATCCCATCGAACCCCTCCAATCCAACTCTACGCCACCCCATCCCATCCAACTCTACGCCACCCCATCCCATCGAACCCATCCCATCCAACTCTTCCAAACCAACTCTACGCCAACCCTTCCCATCCAACTCTACGCCAACCCATTCCATCCAACTCTACACACCCCATCCAGACCTTCCAATCCAACTCTAAACACCCCATCCAGACCTTCCAATCCAACTCTAAACACCCCATCCAGACCTTCCAATCCAACTCTAAACACCCCATCCAGACCTGCCAATCCAACTCTACACACCCCATCCAGACCTTCCAATCCAACTCTACACACCCCATCCAGACCTTCCAATCCAACTCTACACACCCCATCCAGACCTTCCAATCCAACTCTACACTACCCCATCCTACCCCATCAAGACCTTCAAATCCAACTCTACACCACCCCATCCCATCCCACCCTTCCAATCAAACTCTACACCACCCCATCCAACCCTATTCCAATCCAACTCTACACTACCCCATCCCACCCCATCCAACCCTATTCCAATCCAACTCTACACTACCCCATCCCACCCCATCAAGACCTTCCCATTCAATTCTACACTACCCAATCCCACCCCATCCAACTCTACACCACCCCCATCCCGACCTATCCAACCCTTCCAATCCAACTCTACGCCACCCCATCCCATCCAACTCTACACTAACCCATCCCATCGAACCCCTCTAATCCAACTCTACGCCACCCCATCCCATCCAACTCTACGCCACCCCATCCCATCGAACCCATCCCATCCAACTCTTCCAAACCAACTCTACGCCAACCCTTCCCATCCAACTCTACGCCAACCCATTCCATCCAACTCTACACACCCCATCCAGACCTTCCAATCCAACTCTAAACACCCCATCCAGACCTTCCAATCCAACTCTAAACACCCCATCCAGACCTTCCAATCCAACTCTAAACACCCCATCCAGACCTGCCAATCCAACTCTACACACCCCATCCAGACCTTCCAATCCAACTCTACACACCCCATCCAGACCTTCCAATCCAACTCTACACACCCCATTCCATCCAACTCTACACCACCCCATCCAGACCTTCCAATCCAACTCTAAACACCCCATCCAGACCTTCCAATCCAACTCTAAACACCCCATCCAGACCTTCCAATCCAACTCTAAACACCCCATCCAGACCTGCCAATCCAACTCTACGCCACCCCATCCCATCCAACTCTACACTAACCCATCCCATCGAACCCCTCTAACCCAACTCTACGCCACCCCATCCCATCCAACTCTACGCCACCCCATCCCATCGAACCCATCCCATCCAACTCTTCCAAACCAACTCTACGCCAACCCTTCCCATCCAACTCTACGCCAACCCATTCCATCCAACTCTACACACCCCATCCAGACCTTCCAATCCAACTCTAAACACCCCATCCAGACCTTCCAATCCAACTCTAAACACCCCATCCAGACCTTCCAATCCAACTCTAAACACCCTATCCAGACCTTCCAATCCAACTCTAAACACCCCATCCAGACCTGCCAATCCAACTCTACACACCCCATCCAGACCTTCCAATCCAACTCTACACACCCCATCCAGACCTTCCAATCCAACTCTACACACCCCATCCAGACCTTCCAATCCAACTCTACACTACCCCATCCTACCCCATCAAGACCTTCAAATCCAACTCTACACACCCCATCCCACCCTTCCAATCCAACTCTACACCACCCCATTCCATCCAACTCTACACCACCCCATCCAGACCTTCCAATCCAACTCTACACCACCCCATCCAGACCTTCCAATCCAACTCTACACACCCCATCCAACCCTTCCAATCCAACTCTACACACCCCATCCAACCCTTCCAATCGAACTCTACACTAACCCATCCCACCCATCAAGACCTTCCAATCCAACTCTACACCACCCCATCCCAACCTATCCAACTCTACACCACCCCATCCGATCCCATCCCATCCAACCCTTCCAATCCAACTCAACACTACCCCATCCCACGTCATCCAACCCTATTCCAATCCAACTCTACACCACCCCATCCAACCCTTCCAATCCAACTCAACACCACCCCATCCCACCTCATCCAACCCTATTCCAATGCAACTCTACACCACCCCATCCAACCCTTCCTATCTAACTCAACACCACCCCATCCCACTCTACACTAACCCCATCCATGTTCTTGCCATACCTCCTTGTTGAATGTTGTGAGGATGTTTTTCAGTGCTTTGCTCATGTGAGTGTCCTCGCTGAGTCGCTTCACTCGCAGCTGAGAAACACCTTCCTTCTCCACCAGCTGAAACAACAGAACACAGACCATCACTGCCATTACATAGATGTTGGTCCTACACGTCAAAACTCTGTAGAGTTGCCTCCCTTGCTACCAGGGTCTACGAGCCCCTTCCCTTGTGGTGACACCATCGTTACCCTCTTGGTATCATCACTCCCACCACAAGCTTCTTCCAAGCACATGATATCTTTGTTACAATCACGGTATCATCGCTACCACCATCGTGCAAGGGGCCATTACAAAAATCTTGAATATTTTCCCTCTAGCCCCGAATGTAGTGATATTTATTGGTCTTTGTGTATGCCATTCTAGTGAATTGGGAAAAGGTTAATGACAGACTTTCTAGTTCCAAGATGAAATTTCAATGTAACAAGTAAGTACCTGCAACTTGAAGTCTGTTTCACCCAGGTATTTCCGCAATCCCACAATGCAGTTGTCTATACTGCCTTCACCTTGACCTATGACCTCTACATCTTCACACAAGGACACAACCTTCTTGAAAGACTTGTGGTTGAGATTTTTAAGGGTGTCAATGCGGTCAAAGATTTTCACAAGTTCCTTCTCCCCAAAAGCCTTGTCCACCTGAAACAGTTTCTCAAGGTAAACAAATGCAATCTGACAGTGTACAACAACATGACCAAGGCATCAAACATTTTCACAATGTATTCGTTAAACAGGGATGAGAATGGATATTTTCTTTTTCAGCTGAAACTTCATTGCAATGGAGTGTGGTCCATAATTTGGGGGTGTTTAGGGGAAAGCCATAAGATTTTAACAATTTGTGGTCACTAAAACTTGCGGAAATTCACAGATCCGCAGAAGATTCTCCCCCCTGGATAAACCCATCTATTTTATTTGACATAGTTTTCAATCACCTGTTCAATGCCGATAGTTTTTAGCCTTCCAGTGATCTTCTTCTCATCTTTATCTGCAACTTCCTCTGTCTGTGTGCGAGACTTCCACCGCCGCTCTAAGAACTGGTCCTCCAGGATGTGTCTGATGAAGCTCTGGATGGCGGTGTGGACAGAGCCGTCGCCGTCACGGGCTGACACCATCACACTGTGTCACAGATCAACACAGTGTCACAGATACACGCAGTGTCACAGATCTATAAAGTGTCACAGATTTATAGTGTCACAGATACACAGTGTCACAGATACACACAGTGTCACAGATACACACAGTGGCACAGATACACACAGTGTCACAGATCTATAAAGTGTCACAGATTTATAGTGTCACAGATACACAGTGTCACAGATACACACAGTGTCACAGATCAACACAGTGTCACAGATACACGCAGTGTCACAGATCTATAAAGTGTCACAGATTTATAGTGTCACAGATACACAGTGTCACAGATACACACAGTGTCACAGATACACACAGTGGCACAGATACACACAGTGTCAGAGATACACACAGTGGCACAGATACACAGTGTCACAGATCTACAGTGTCACAGATACACACAGTGTCACAGATATAGTGTATCACAGATACAAGTAGTGTCACAGATCTACAATGTATCACAGATCTACAATGTGTCACAGATATAGTGTGTCACAGATCTATAAAGTGCCACAGATACACAATGTCACAGATCCACAATGTATCACAGATCTACAATGTGTCACAGATATAGTCTGTCACAGATCTACACAGTGTCACAGATACAGAGTGTCACAGATCTACAATGTGTCACAGATACATAGTGTCACAGATCTACAATGTGTCACAGATACATAGTGTCACAGATCTACAATGTGTCACAGGTATACACATAGATATACAATGTGTCCATGTCATGGAATAGTTGCTACATTCCACCAGTAGCACCATGTGACTCACCTGCCCACAAAGTTGTGATCCTCCGCCATCTTCTCCAGCTCCACCACACAGGCCGGCCTCTCAGTCCCCCTGTCAGGCTTCTCCACATCATCAGTCGCTGAGGACACAAACATCACCAGCTACACATGAACATCACCAGCTGCACGCATATAACACCAGCTACACACAAATATCACAAGCTATACATGAACATCACAAGCTACACATGAACATCACCAGCTGCACACAAACATCACCAGCTACACATGAACATTACCAGCTACACACAAACATCACCAGCTGCATATGAACATCACCAGCTATACATGAACATCACCAGCTGATATGAACATCACCAGCTGCACATGAACATCACCAGCTACACACAAACATCACAAGCTGCACATGAACATCATCAGCTATACATGAACATCACCAGCTACAAAGAAACATCACCAGCTACATATGAACATCACCAGCTACACATGAACATCACCAGCTACACACAAACATCACCAGCTGCACATGAACATCACCAGCTGCACATGAACATCATCAGCTATACATGAACATCACCAGCTACATATGAACATCACCAGCTACACATGAACATCACCAGCTACACACAAACATCACCAGCTACACACAAACATCACCAGCTGCACATGAACATCACCAGCTGCACACAAACATCACCAGCTACATACAAACATCACCAGCTACACACAAACATCACCAGCTACACACAAACAACACCAGCTACACACAAACATCACCAGCTACACACAAACATCACCAGCTACACACAAATATCACAAGCTACACATGAACATCACAAGCTACACATGAACATCACAAGCTACACATGAACATCAAGCAACCCATGCTTGCTGTAAAAGGTGACTATGCTTGTCGTAAAAGGCGACTAACGGGATCAGGTGGTCAGGCTCGCTGACTTAGTTGATGCATGTCATCGATCCCAATTGCGTGGGTCGTACTCATGATATTAATCACTGGATTGTCTGGTCCAGACTCGATTATTTACAGACCGCCGTCATATAGCTGGAATATTGCTGAGTGCGGCGTTAAACAACAAACCAACCAACCAACCAACATGAATATCACAAGCTACACATGAACATCACCATCTGCACACAAACATCACCAGCTACACACAAACATCACCAGCTGCACACAAACATCACCAGCTGCACACAAACATCACCAGCTACACACAAACATCACCAGCTACACACAAACATCACCAGCTACACACAAACATCACCAGCTGCACACAAACATCACCATCTGCACACAAACATCACCAGCTGCACACAAACATCACCATCTGCACACAAACATCACCAGCTACACACAAACATCACCAGCTACACACAAACATCACCAGCTACACACAAACATCACCAGCTACACACAAACATCACCAGCTACATACAAACATCACCAGCTACACGGCCACGTCATACCAAAAGACGTTAAAAGATAGTACTTGTTGTTACCCTGTCTGGCACTCGGCATTGAGGGACTAAAACAAGGACTGGTCGGCTCGGAGTCAGTATACTGTGTCTGAGTGGGGTATTCATGTTAAACTGTGGCATGGTATCTCAGTGTGATAGCACTATAAATCGACATCAGTCCGGACTAGTACAAGCAGACACACACACACACGCACACATGCATGCACGTCGCTATATAAGTGCAATAATCTTGGACGCGACGTTAAACCCCATTTCACCTGACCTCACCTACAGATGTAGTATACATAACACCCAGACACAGGACTCACATAATTTGCTGAAATCAGTGTCTTTCAAACGCTTCCCTTGAGGATATAAGCTCTGGCCTTCTGTCTTCATTCTCTGTTCCACCTGTAAAGAGTCGTTCACAACTTAACGCTGGTGTCACTTCAAGTACATTGTCCACATAGAATGGACTTCAATATTTTTTGTGTTTATAGAGGTATACGCAAAGTATCCCAAACCTTTGGTGCACCGATAATATTCTCAGACGAAAAACAATACACGATACACACCTTACTTGTATCAACTCATATTTTAATCTTGTATCGATTCACACACTGACCCATTCATTCACATTTAATTTATTTAATTTGGGGGGCACATCTCAGGTACATCGCGAACAGGGAATTTTCTATTTTATTTAATAATAGAAAATACTTGTGTAGACAAGCCTTTTTAACAGTGTTTATGCACTATAAGATAGAAAAACTTGAATTATTAAGTATCATATTGTGATACTGTAAACAGCTTTATTTCTGCGCCGTTAAAATATTGCAAATACCACACCAAAGACAATACTGCGACGAGATATTTTTGCGAGTTGCCGTGTTGAGATGGGAGATAGTCGTATCGTTACATCCCTAACGCAAATTGTGTGCACACCGGTTTTATGTTTATAACACCAGAAACAGAAAAATATATTGAAGTCAATTATTATTGATAGATATGTCAACAAAAACTGCACATACTTTATCATTAACACAAAAATAACTGTAGACAACAATATGAAATCAGTGGCATCATTCAGCACAATGAGGCACAACAAGCCCCACCCATCCTCAAAGTCAGATTGACCAATCGGAGAGCAGAATTACTAATCCCATATGAGCCCGTATACTGTCAAGAAAATCCAAGATGGTTGTTACTGACCTAATATGAGACTGTATACCGGCAGTAACAGCCATTTTGGATTTTCCACCACCCACCTCACATATTTCACAGAGCAATAGAAATAGATAGTAGTCCATCGTTTGGGAAAAGCGGACTGCTATCAAGTTACAGTGGCCCGCAAATTTTTATGATAATTCTATCCATTTTAGCTATAATACTTGTTTAAATGTTCCAGCATAGTGATATTATTTGTTCCATTGTAAATGTTCATGTTTACATTAAAGCGTTGTATTGGAAACATATGTACTGGTCCTCTAGTTTATACTGGTTGTAAGTGTTAAGTCTTCATTTTGACATGAGTGAGTGAGTTGGGTTTAACACCGCTTTTAACAGTATTCCAGTTATGTCGCGGCATGTCAGCTTAATGTGGGAGGAAAGCCCGAAGTGATGCAGGTCTCAGACGTTTACCACTTTGGTGAAACACACGAGCACGGGTATGGTGCTGACAAAATTAGAAATATAATCGGGGCGAACCAGGATTCGAACCCACAATCATAGGTTTCTGGCGCGCCCAAGGGACGCAACTCTGCACAGCGAATCGTGGCGCCTTAGACGACCGTGCCCCCCATTTTGACATGACATTTGAGATAAAAATACCAAATACCGGGTAGTCTTAACTTTTCGACATAATAAATTTTATTATGGTGTCATTAGTTGCTGTATATGGCCTTTAACCCAAGCATCTTTGATTTTTGACTGTCCAGAAAAAGTTCAGTCATTGTTCATCTGACATGACTTCCTATGGCGGGTTTGATCTTCACACAGAGAGATATCAAATTGGAGTAAAAGATCTGATTGTAGTGATATTGTGCAGATCCTGGCATGACTATGGGACACAAATCATCATCATCATCATCATCATCATCATCATCATCACCATCACCATCAGTGTTTTGTTCTGGTCAAACAAAACCACTCACTATGTCACACTTTGTTCCTAAGAGGAGTACAGGAAACTTGACAGGGTCCACAGCAAGTGTGCCAGTCTCCTCCTGTGTCTCATCGCCATCACCAAGCGGTCTTGTCTTCTCAATGTTTGTGACCACAGTCTGTTTCCATACATTGGCCATCATGATGGATTCCGGGTCTGACACATCGACTACCACTGCAAACACAAGTACTCATTATGTTCAAACCAATTTTCGGTTAACGTATTCACTTTCTTTGTATTTTTATCCTAAAAACCAAGTCTACTGTACCATGTCACTGTCTCAGGCATTAGTCTTAGTAGATTCTATTTAAGTCTGGATATATTTGATTAACATAGTAAATAGGCCTATTAAAGAAAACCATCAGAGAGCAGCCAAACTATGGACTATGTACACACTTTAAATAGAACCAGGCTACAAATTACAAACAAGACACAATGCCCATAACGTTTGCATGGTAATGATAAGAACCCGGCACATTTTCAACAGAACCTGACACATTAAATCACATAGCGTGTAATCATTTGTTGCGGACTGCGTGATTAACATATATGGGAGTCTTCTGATGGTTTCCTTTCGTAGGCTTGTTCAAGCAACGTGATGAAGGTACACCAAGAGTCAACTTCACACATTGTATCTCTGGATCAAAATAGATTTGGATGCTCTGGATTCAGACTTAGATGAATTAATGTTGCAAATAGAATCACGAAGCTAAACAAGAGTCTTCAGAAAATGACATATCCCCCCCAGTCTGGTGCAATTTAGAAATGGCTACTTATTCCCCACTGGATTGCCATTGGATACCTACACCTCAGTGAAGAAAAAAATAATGCTGTTCAGTATTTTTCAAAATCTCAAATAATCAAAAGGCACCAGTTAACCACTAGACTGATCTGTATAGCAAGTTTCATGTAGAAATATTCAACAGTTTTGGAGTTGTGCTCCAGAAACGTATAACCAACTTGTTTTCATCATGAAAAATAATGAAAACGAAACAAAATAAAAAGACTAAAAATCCCAAATCATCACTAGGCACCAGTTCCCAACTAGACTGATCTACATAGAGGTTTCAAGAAGAAATATTTAATGGTTTTGAAGTTCTGCTCCAGGAAGGGAAAATGGATGGCTGACGAATGGACATGCTGATTGCTATATCCCCTCTGTTTTTCAAACAGGGGGAATAATGAGCTATTAATCTAATTTATCAACATCATAAAGGCATGGTTCAAAATTAATTTTGAGTTTCACCACTTCAAAAACATGATAGGGAGTTGCCATCTACACAATGGTAAATTCTAGTTCATAAAGAAATGTCACTTCTAGTCCTTCCTGGATTTGACCAATCTCGGATAAACAGACTTTTGTTAATCTGGAAACCCTGCCAGCAAGATTCAGCCTGGTGGCTGCTTCACATGACATACCAATGGCAGCATCCAGGTTTCTGAAGTAGGACTTGTAGAGGTCGATGTCCTCCCTCCCCGGAATGTCCCACAGAGACAGAGACACAACAGCGTGGCTCGGCAAGTTCACCTTCATCACATGGTTCTCTGGTCAAACATAAACATAACACAGTTGTAGGGCTGAGTGTAAGAAACATGCTTATTTCATGTGCAAGTCACAAGAGCTAGCAACGACTTTGATAAAAATCTGTTCCATACCAATTGGCAAAACATGTTGTCTTACGTGGTAATAACCCTTAAAGTACTAAAACAAAGCAGCCGAGAATTATCAGATTCTTAAATATGTCGTGAACACACGCTTTGGAATGGTTTTAGTTGAGATGAAAATATTTTGCCTTCTTATTTTAATCACATAGTTGACAGATCTGATGACAAACTTTTGCAGAATGAAAAATAAAATTTTAAGAACACTTATAGTCGTTTACTAGACCTGGCCGACAGGACAGTGTAGAAGTTTCTGTTTTTGTTTATGCAGCTTTGAGATATAATGATAAACATTCCGAATCTTCCTAAGGCAAGGAGTCAACTGACTGTAAAAGTACAGTTTCCACCCTTACCGAACAAGGCTGGAGTTCTGGGCTCGATCGTTGCGCCACCAGTGGCTATTACAAGTTATGTCCCTTCTATGTCCCTCCTACTGACCAAACAGATTCCACCACTCATATCAATTGCATTTGCTTCAAACAAAATGGCGGCACTCAAAGCGCCCAGTCAAGAAGATCTCATTGATAATCATAGTCTATATTGTGCACAGCAGTTTACAAACTGCATGTCTATTTAGTCATGCAATTTTTATTAGACTTTGCGTAAACTCGTTAGTCCAGCCAAAATATAATTCCACAATTCCAGCCTAGTTTGGCAAGGGTGGAAACGGGACTTTAATAGTCAGTTAACTCCCTTTCCTCAGGAAGATGTGCTGTGAGGTGAAATGGAGTTTAATGTCGCTTTCAAGATTATTGCACTTATATAGCGACGTGCATGCAGATGTGTGTCTGAGTGTGTGGCTGCTTGTACTAGTCCGGACTGATGCCGATTTATAGTGCTTAGCCCACTGAGATACCATGCCGCAGTTTAACATGAATACCCCAGGCAGACACAGTATACTGACTCCGAGCCGACCAGTTCTTGTTTTAGTCCCTTAATGCCGAGCGCCAGACAGGGTAACAACAAGTACCATCTTTTAACGTTTTTAGGTATGACGCGGCCGGGGATCAAACCTCAATCCTTCCGCTCTCTGGGCGGACACTCTACCACTTGACCACGGAGGCAGTCCTCAGGAAGATGACAATCCGTGCTATCAGGGTACAATGACACACTATCAATCAACTCAGTAATTCTGACCACCCAATTCACTAAGCCGCCTCCTATGACCAGCATAGATTGCTGGATACAAACTGTAACCAAGAATCTCCACTGGGTGCTGATTCGAATGAAGAGTGAGTGAGTTGGCTTTTACGCCGCTTTTTACAGTATTCCAGTTATATCACGGTGTGTCAGCTTAATATGGGAGGAAAGCCCGAAATGATGCAGGTATCAGACCTTTACCACTTTGGTGAAACCCAAGAGCACGGGTACGGTGCAGAAACATAATCAGGACGAACCGGGATTCGAACCCACAATCATAGGTTTCTGGCGTGCCCAAGGGACGCAACTCTGCACAGCGAATCGCGGCGCCTCAGACGACTGGGCAACCCTTGCCCCCTTCGAATGAAGATACATATGAAGGTGAACTTACCAATGACAGCCCTCTGTGTGGGAATGTAGAGGGGACTGAACTGGTTGCGCATATAGCGCAGGAATATGTTGGTCTTCCCCACTGATGGATCACCTGTAACACAGAAAAGGCAAATAATGAAGTGGGAAAACCTCAACAATAATGCAGATCCTTAACTTAAGGGGGACATAGTATTTTATTTTAATGTTCATTCCAAACTCAGCAATATTCCAGCCACTAAATAATCCAGTCTGGACCAGACAAACCAGTGGTTGATAGTATGAGCAACATCTCACACCACCAAGGAACTATGACACACAGTCAAGAAAGTGACCACCTGGGCCACTTCATTGCCTAAAAACTAAGGTTGCTGGGGACCCCTTTTAATCCAGAATCTGCAAGGGCTTGTGTCAAAATAAGACGTCATCTATATGGAATTAGTGTAAAAACTGTTAGACTGATTAACAAAATAAAAGTTATCAGGTATCAAAAGGATTTAAATAGACTTAACTCAGGGTTGTTGAACTGCTAATCCACTTCATAGAATATAAGCATGGTACAGTACTAGGGCTGGGACGGGTCACTTGGGTCGGGTGGGTCCTGAGTAGGACCCCGGTACCCACAGTACTACCCGTGGTTAGTCACGTGACATATTGTTTAATGACAAAAACTTACTACAGCTCAGTGGTTACACTACAAGTCGATAATGTTCCCATTTCTTTATGATGATGCACACATTCCTTTTGACTTGTATATGTTTGAGTAAAGATAAAGCTTCAGTCAACTTCAGTGTAGGTATGATTTGATCGTTTCATAAGAGACCATATATCTATTATATGGTCCCTGGTTTCATGCATGTATCCAAACAGTTTTTGCCAGGGCTACAGTTAAATTATTCCCAATTAGACATTGTGTTCCCAACTCTTGAGACCTACAGTGGGTGAGTGAGTGAGTATGGTTTTACGCCGCTTTTAGCAATATTCCAGCAATATCACGGCGGGGGACACCAGAAATGGGCTTCACACATTGTACCCATGTCGGGAATCGAACCCGGGTCTTCGGCGTGACCTACAGTGGGTACCTTGGTAGGGTCGGGTAATAGGGGGTTGGGTACCCGGGTAGTATATTTGGACTCGTCCCGGCCGTATACAGTACATAGCCCTTGAAAATAATGTTTACTGCACCTTAGCCTTGCAATATACTCACCAACAATGACAACCTTCATTGCTGGAACTGTTTTTGCTTTCAAAGACTGCCCATCTGAAAGATTGGTTAAAACAACCATGAAAAAGAAAGTCTACAACATATATATATTTATTCCCTACGAGGACAAACATATCAGGGTTCATAAAAATCATATGTGACCTTGGGTCACACATGTATCACGCCACGAGACAACAGTGTATATTTTCAGTCATCCGGTTGGTTGGTGGGTTTGTTGTTTAACGCCGCACTCAGCAATATTCCAGCTATATGACGGCGGTCTGTAAATAATCGAGTCTGGACCAGACAATCCAGTGATTAATATCATGAGCATCGATCCACGCAATTGGGATCGATGACATGCATCAACCAAGTCAGTGAGCCTGACCACCTGATCCCGTTGGCGCCTTTTACGACAAGCATAGTCACCTTTAACGGCAAGCATGGGTTGCTGAAGACCTATTCTACCCCGGATCTTCACGGGTCAGGTCACACATGTATCACGCCACGAGTATCACGCCACGAGACAACAGTGTATTTTTTCAGTCATCCGGACGGCATTCCAATCTTATTGAGACGTGAGGTTGGAATGACGTCACACTAGAAACGATGTCATAGCTGAAGATTGTTGATGTCATTTGACATTTTTCAGTTCCGCTGCTGTTGTGACTTGCTGTCCTTATAGGTAAACACTAAAATTTGTATGTGGACATCTTCTTCGGTAATAAATAGAACATTATATTTTGTTGATGTCATACTATGTTTACAAAACTCATGCCTAATTTCTGGTATTTATAGAAACATTGAATAACATGAACACTCATATATAATATGTATTATCATATAATAGCAGGTTTCTCGGCAGGATAAAGCCAACGGATAAAAACGATATCCGTTTGGGTCATATGCGGATAGAGATGCAAATATGAAAGGTCAAGTAGGGACTACTTTCACTGTTTATAAACAAACATGGCGGCGTCCTCGTCATTCGGCGATCGAGTCAGAATTAACCATCGGAAATCTGGATAAACTACAGGAATGATTGCTACCATTATCAAAAGAACAGTCTAATATACTGATAATCAGTGTCTAACTGTGACGTAGCTAAGGCATTTTATAAGTTTTGGCAACTTTGGAGATATAAATTTCAACACAATTTTGCGAGGGCAAGAGGCATAGACAAGCGGGATCAGTAGCCATATCTGTGTTTGTAGACCTCTGGGGCTTGAAACCTTCTCCACAAATTAAAATAGTTGGATTTGGCAGAAATATGTTTGAATTGTTCCCTTGTTTCGTTTTGTCGCTGTGTGTACATCTGACTACACTTCTTAATGTTATGACAGGACAGACCGACTGCCAACAATGTCTGACCGTGGCCGTGACGTCTCATAGACTAGGAATAGAGTAACTTCCCTTTGACAAAGGGCAGTTACTCTAGCAGACAGGCCGATGGATTGCCGCGATAGGCAATTAAATGTTTTTATTGTTTTGCGTATATGTTGCTTCGCCAGTGTATAACAAAGAGATTTCAGCTGGAGCTATATTGGCTACTGTCACTGTCCGAATAACACATCACTTACCCTGTGACATAATAAATATTAATGCGCGCATTCCAGGAAAACTCGCAATGTTTCGGTAATGTTTGTGTGAGAGGGAAAGCGATTTTGAAGCACAGAATTAAAGAATGACATTATATGATAAAGAGGTTATCATGCTTGTGTGTTTGGGGATGGTAAATATCCTGTATTAGGAATAAACACTATGTATTTAGCTCGCCAAGACTCGCTAAATACAATGTTTATTCCTAATGCAGGATATTTACCATCCCCAAACACACTCGCGTGATAACCTCTATATATATGTTTTGTCGGATGATAGGTATTCAGAGTCATATGTTTTCGCACGGCCATGTGTGATAACAACACCTGTTATAGCAAGAGTAATCGAGTAAACATGGCCGTGCGAAAACATGTCTCTGAATACTTATCATCCGACAAAACATATATATATATATATATATATATATATATATATATATATATATATAACAGGGGTTGTTATCACACAGACATCTTAAATACTCAGATGATGGCTTGTTTTTTAAAAAGAAAGTTGTCTTTTATAAGTGAATAAGATGTTTAACAGTTGTTCATGTGATCAGAGAGAAATCTACGAATGTTTCTTAAGCGTCCGAAATCTAATAACAAGGGGATATATAATATATATAGTCAGAGACCATATAGATCTACCAGTATCTGCTATTAGTAAAGTGCACTTAGCAGTATTTTTAAGAAGTATAGTATCAATGAACAATAAATAGGAAATTGCTTAGATATATACACTTATTTTTGTATATGATATCAGAAATACTATGCAAAATCTTGTCAGACATATTCCTCAGTTAGCTACCACTGCACAACAGATGACGTAGAGTGCGCGAAAACCGAGGGCAATCTAAAGACTAATCAGAACGACTAGCGAGTAAAACTATTCGCTATGACAATCCTTGGTATATTCTAATCTTACCCTGGGCAGTCGTCCGGTCTGAGCTACATCCAGTACCCATATCTCATGTTATCATTGCGAAGAGATACAGACAGGAAGGTGAAGGCGTATTCCTCTTCGCAGTCGATGTAAAGCGTAAAACGTATTACACTCGGATATTATCGGACATGTTCGGTATGGAGGTGAAGGGACAGGTCGACCGAGGATAAAGGACAGCAGTGCAGATTGTTCCGACTGCTGTTGTTTACAGTTTCTATGTTCAAAACGTCACCCGAGCGCACAAATGGATGACGTCACATGGTGTCACAAGTTATAGCGTGTATTGATGAATAGTTTTGTGCGCACAGTATTTTTTTGCACAAATTTGGACCATAACGGATTCTCAAGGTAGAAATCAAAATGCATTAAATTGAAAATATTATTGAATATTGTTGTCGAAACTCATATACAAATATTGATAAGTTATTTGTCGGGCGAAAACGGCACCTCTATTTTAAATAACGATAAGAACTATTTATGTAGTTAGTATTTATGCTTTATTTACGTGCTTTATTCTGTTATGTTGTTGTGTATTTGATTTATTATCATGTAATTGATAGCATTTTGTAAATTACCGAGAACAATTACACCAATCAGTTGTAACAACAATATTATTCAAAGCTCTCCACGCTAATGTCGAACCCAGTCATCCAAACAAAATATGCAAAAGTTGGTAAGCTATCATCCAAATTGGAGTAGAGGCTTATTTCTAATATAAACTTGTTTTAACATTTCACAATTATTAGTGTTTGCAAGTGACCATGTGAGTTTAATTTCATTTATTTCAGTACCAAGGTAAGAAAAATAAGGTGCCTTTTTCGCCAGCCAAATGTAGCCGTTATCGCTTAGGGCGAGGTGACGTTTTCGCCAATCGGTGCCTTTTTCGCTCGGCGACGTTTTGCTGAGGTGCCGTATTAGGCCTAGCTACAACCCAGAATCTTAAGCATTATTATTTAGATTGTTTTAAATTATTCGGTATCCTCATGAAGCATATTGTCTCATAATGATTTCACACACACACACAGCGTACATAATTGATGACGTTAGAAAATACAGCTGTGACCTAATACATTTATTGTTACGCGATATTTTGCACAGAACAATGAAGAACGAAGCGTGGTTTATTTCACGAATGAGTAGGTATGGTTTTACGCCGCTTTTAGCAATATTCCAGCAATTTCACGGCGGGGGACACCAGAAATGGGCTTCACACATTGTACCCATGTCGGGAATCGAACCCAGGTCTTCAGCGTGACGCGCGAACGCTTTTACCACAAGGCTTGCCCACCGCCCTGCGACTTGTTATAGCTGACATATAATTTCTCAATAATTTTGCATAGTGACCTATAGTTGCGTTAGCATTACTTGTCTTAAATGCACGTTCAGAATGCCCTATAAATTCCTGGCTCAGAATCAACTGGCCCCTTATTTCACGATAAAAACATTGTTCTATCACGACGTCATGTCTGGAGAATTGAACATGCGCTCGCAACTTGATGACTTCGTAAATGGGACGACGTTATTTTTTAAAGCGAAGTGTCTATAGAATGAGGTGTTCCCCATATAGATGTAGCTGCGGACAACGCAGTTGAACGCAATGGCCGAACGATCGCACCAAAAGTTTGGAGAGATGTGACAATCGGTATTGGGAGAAACTGTGCAGATAATCGAGGTGAAAATTGTGAGAATACCAAATCTCACATAAGAAATACACGCCTCGTCGTCGTTGTTTATCTAACATTAAAACACTGCAGGGAGAATAAATCATTCGAGGCTGCGCCCCTCACGGTATATTCTACCTGTAGTGTGGGGCGGTCGGGTAGCCTAGTGGTTAAAGCGTTCGCTCGTCACGCCGAAGACCCGGGTTCGATTCCCGACATGGGTACAATGTGTGAAGCCCATTTCTGGTGTCCCCCGCCGTGATATTGCTGGAATATTGCTAAAAGCGGCGTAAAACCTCACTCACTCACTCACTCACTCTACTTGCAGTGCTTTAGTGTATGATAAACAACCCCCACTCGTTCTTTATTTCTTAAATGTTTACAAGATAGCTACGCGATATATCGCAAAGAACAACGAAGAACGAAGCGTGGTTTATTTCACGATAATACATTGTCCTATCATGACTACATTCCTGGAGATTCTAACGTGCGCTCGCAACTTGATGACGTTGGACGACGTTATGTTTGAGAGGGAAGTGTCTCAGAAATATGAGTTGTTCCCCATAGATTTAGGCTAGCTGGGCAACGCTGCTAAACGATGTGGCCGAACGATCGCCCAAAGTGGAGAGATATGACAATCGGTATTGGGGGAAAAGCAACAGCTAACTGACGCGAGGATTGCGAGAATAGGCGGCAAATACCAGAACCAAACCCACCTTCTCGCGTAATAATTGACGTAATAAAGTAAGAGACGTTATTCTAAATGACAAGTGATGAAACCTTTGATCAAACAGCAGACATTCAGCTAGCCCCGAGCTGCGATGGACTCCTACAGGCACGACATGACACTAAACATGACAAGATAACATTCATCCAGAGGAGTGAGTGAATATGGTTTTACGCCGCTTTTAGCAATATTCCAGCAATATCACGGCGGGGGAAACCAGAAATGGGCTTCACACATTGTACCCATGTCGGGAATCGAACCCTGGTTTTTTTGGCGTGCAAGCGAACGCTTTAACCACTAGGCTACCAGAGGATCAACGACGGCGCAAAGAAAATTTGTAGCAATCCTACCTATTGAATACAGTACTTATACTGCCATATCAAAAGCGCATCAGTGTAACCTAGGAGGTAAAACAAACTGTAATTTGCATGTGGTACCTTAAGAATAAGGAATGAGAATATGGCACATTTCAGTTTAAATATTTATGTAATATAAAAGTAGACAAAAACATATGATGAAAAGAAATTAGTAATATATTTTCACAACAATGACTTCCTGTAACCTTTTTATTGTTTTCAAGGAACATGTGATATTAAGTTGACACAGTCATAGTGGCACACGGGATACTGTTGACATTGACATATCTATACAGTGGTAACATTATTAATATTATTTAATAATTAATATCTTTGAAGTAATAATTACATTGTTGTAATATTATTTCATAAGGAACGAGATCAGTGGAGACATGCAGATATTGTTAACTTGAAACCGACACCGTTGTGAGGTGAGGTGATGTGATATGGGTTTAACGTCGCGTCCAAGATTATTGCACTTATATAGCGACGTGCATGCGAGTGTGTGTGTGGCTGTTTGTACTAGTCCGGACTGATGCCGATTTATAGTGCTAGCTCACTGAGATATATAATATAGCTCCAAAGGTTCCAAATCTTCTGACAGCTGATCACCAGGTACAGCAGGTCTAGTGATATTCTAGGTCTGTTTGAAGCTGATCCAGAAAGGTTGTTGCAACGATTTGTGATTATGGATGAAACCTGGACGCCACCTGTGGGACAGAGGATACTTTCGCCTTTTCTCGAAGACCTGGTGTCTGATAGTGATTCATGAACACATGTTCATGATATATTCGGACTCGTTCTCTCGACTCTCCTTTTAGCAGAGAACATTTATGAATATGGAAAGAGTTTTGTTGATTTTATTTACCGATGTTTTTAAATGTACTACAGTTACAGATTGTTTTGAACTTCGGTGTGTGAGGAATGTGATACAGGTCACAGACAGTTATCAAAAAGGAAAGTTTTCACGGCAAATCTTGCTTTGTAATAACGTTTCAGGGCTACCTCTTGCCCCATCACCCATTTCTTTGTAACGACGTTTCAGCCGTACTACTTACCCCTCTATTCATTCTTTGTAACGACGTTTCAGCCGTACTACTTACCCCTCTATTCAGTCTTTGTAACGACGTTTCAGCCGTACTACTTACCCCTCTATTCAGTCTTTGTAACGACGTTTCAGCCGTACTACTTACCCCTCTATTCATTCTTTGTAACGACGTTTCAGCCGTACTACTTACCCCTCTATTCAGTCTTTGTAACGACGTTTCAGCCGTACTACTTACCCCTCTATTCATTCTTTGTAACGACGTTTCAGCCGTACTACTTACCCCTCTATTCAGTCTTGGTAACGACGTTTCAGCCGTACTACTTACCCCTCTATTCATTCTTTGTAACGACGTTTCAGCCGTACTACTTACCCCTCTATTCAGTCTTTGTCACGACGTTTCAGCCGTACTACTTACCCCTCTATTCAGTCTTTGTAACGACGTTTCAGCCGTACTACTTACCCCTCTATTCAGTCTTTGTAACGACGTTTCAGCCGTACTACTTACCCCTCTATTCAGTCTTTGTAACGACGTTTCAGCCGTACTACTTACCCCTCTATTCAGTCTTTGTAACGACGTTTCAGCCGTACTACTTACCCCTCTATTCAGTCTTTGTAACGACGTTTCAGCCGTACTACTTACCCCTCTATTCAGTCTTTGTAACGACGTTTCAGCCGTACTACTTACCCCTCTATTCAGTCTTTGTAACGACGTTTCAGGGCTACCTCTTGCCCCATCACCCATTTCTTTGTAACGACGTTTCAGCCGTACTACTTACCCCTCTATTCAGTCTTTGTAACGACGTTTCAGCCGTACTACTTACCCCTCTATTCAGTCTTTGTAACGACGTTTCAGCCGTACTACTTACCCCTCTATTCAGTCTTTGTAACGACGTTTCAGCCGTACTACTTACCCCACTATTCAGTCTTTGTAACGACGTTTCAGCCGTACTACTTACCCCTCTATTCAGTCTTTGTAACGACGTTTCAGCCGTACTACTTACCCCTCTATTCTTCTTTGAAACGACGTTTCAGGACTACTTCTTGACCTTTGATCCATTCTTTGTTACGACATTTTGGGACTACTTCTTGTCCCTCTATTCTTCTTTGAAACGACGTTTCAGGACTACTTCTTGACCTTTGATCCATTCTTTGTTACGACATTTTGGGACTACTTCTTGTCCCTCTTTTCATTCTTTGTAACGACGTTTCAGGACTACTTCTTGACCTTTGATCCATTCTTTCCATTTCTTTCAGGGCTACTTCTTGTCCCCTCATTCATTCTATATAACGACGTTTCAGGTCTACATCTTGCCCCATCAACCATATCTTTGTAACGGCGGATCAGGACTACTCCTTGCCCCTCTATTCATTCTTTGTAATGGCGTTCAGGACTACTTCTT